GTTCCCTTTCTAAGGACGAAATCTTCAAAATCATATGTCAGTTTTGAATATTCTTAATATCCCAAAGAATCAAAATGAATTTTAACAACCATATCTATATTAGATTCCGAAACTTCATAAAAATCCTTACAAACAAAGATACATAGCGGGTTCCAGTAAATGTTCAACATTGCCTCCTCACTAAGATATTATATGTAGTGAAGGAGAAACTTCATTATATATTCAAAAAGAATTGTCTTTTAATTCAAGAACTTTTTGGAATTTAAATCACAAGATTTTACCAAAATCAACTTTATACACACCATTCCAACTTAAATAAAGTTCCCTTTTCGATATCACTGACAGCTTCTTTAAAATCATATGTCAGTTTTGAATATTTTTAATTTAAACCAGAGGCCATGAAATTCACAATTCACAATTTTGAATGAATTTATAAACTTAGCATGCTATCTATATTAATACCCAGAGGTAGATCAGAACAAAGAGAAAATGCTTCATTAAATCCTTACAAATAACATTTTGCAAATTTTATCATAAAATGGTTGATTGAAGAGCAGATTTCAAAGCATTAATTTATGTAACCCCCCCCCCCCCCGACCGACAGGGGCATAAAAAATAACCATTTTGCTAGATGCACCTTTCTTCATTATAAATATATACCTATACTTTCTTTACATAAAACCCAGCACTAAAGATATTATTTTCACATATATTGAAGAACCTCTGTGAAACTTCACAATTTGGGAAGAGTACTCTTGCATTACAACTATATTCAAGCAGGTGGTGTGAGTCAGAACCCCTGTGGGACCATAAAATTCACAATTCTGGAAGAGGCACTCTTGCTCATCATAACTATGTACTTAGTTAGTTTACTTAATACCAAGGAGCAGAGAAGAAGATTTTTAAAGAAATAATGCATTTCACTATATAATTTATATAGATTTTACCAAAATTTCACAATCTTGGTAACTTTATACACACCATTTGCCTGCTAAATGTCCAGGAGTAAAGAAGAAGATTTTTAAAGATTGCAATAATTTTAATGGTTTTGGCCCCACCCCTCAGGAGGAGGTGGGGACTTTTTTCATATCATTGACAAATTTGCTACTTTAAAAAAAAAAATGTTCAAATGTTAACACATGACACACGTAAATTGACTTGACCTAAAAATAAAACGACATTGGACATTTGCAAAATCATTTTGTTAAAAAATTCTGATTGTATACACAAGTACTCTGAAGATGATATCAGAAAATACAAAAGTTTCTGATTGACAATATCTATGTTGTTTTTGGCGACCAGGTCTTCCAACAATCTATTGGAATTCCCATGGGTTCCAATTGTGCCCATTATTAGCAGACTTATTTTTTAAAATCATATGAAGCAGAATTTGTGCAAAATCGTGAAAAGAAGAAAACACTTACTGTGGCCTTCAACTCGACATTTAGATATATCGACGAAGTACTAGTATTGTCAATTAACAATGGTAATTTCCATTTTTATGTCGATATATCCTGGTGAGCTTGAGATAAAAGATACCAAAGAGTCTGACACATCTGTTTCATACTTGGATATTTTACTTGAAAAAGACAATTGTATTGTAACAACCAAGGTCTATGATAAACGTGATGACTTTATCTCTTCAATCGTCAACTTCCCTTGCTTATGAAGCAATATACTTACATATCCTGCATAAGGAGTTTATATACCTCAGTTGATTCGATACGCAAGAGCATGCTCTACGTATGAACAATTTCTAAAACGAGGTATATTCTTGACAAACAAGTTGATGAAACAAGAATTTCAGCTGTCTCGTTTAAAGTCTTCATTTCATAAGTTCTATGGCCAATACAATGACCTTGTCAGCAAATATAATTTATCATTCAGTCGAATGCTACTGACGTTTTTCATACTATTGTTAATCCATTATTTATAAAATGAACGGACGATTGATTTTTCTGTTATATCCCGATCAAAACAAAGAACACGCGGCAGGTGTGACAGGTCGGCAGGGGATGTTCACTCTTCCATGAGACCTGATCCCACCTCTGAGGTTTTGGAGTCCGTGTTTGCTCTGCTCCTATTTTGTACTGTTTTAAAGATTTTGAATACTGTTCGATATCCCCATATGTTTCATTTTATGAACACGTTTTATGAATATGTTTTGAACAAATGTGATGTACTGCATTTTCTGTAAACATTCAGGTCACTTTGGAGACGCCATCATCTTCAAACATAATCAAAAGACTCCTTATAATGTGAGTGTAAGAATAATTTGGAGCAGCTTTGATCAGAGAACCCTAAATATTCACTGAACAATTAACCAATAATCATATCACATCCTCTGCTGATCTTTTCTACAGGTAAATTATTCTAATATTCATATTGATGGTCGTGTTTGTCCTCTGGTATGTCTGTTATATACATAAACACCGGCTATGGATGAATGTAAAAGCGGGTATCTGGTATACAGTAGATGTCCACGATGAGCGCTTTGTTCTTCTTGTTTTTCCTCTACCGAGAAAGATTCTTTTCGGAAATAAAATATCATTATAAGATTTCAAAAGAATTCCTTCAGGAAAATCTATAATATATTCCAAAAAATAAACTATTGAAACCTGAAGATCCATTCACATCAGAAGATTGACCAGTAGCGGGTTATAGTCGTTTGAAACAACTGGAAGCAACACATAATCTATTGACTGTAAACACAGAATATTATTAACGGATGTTAAATTTCTCTGATTCAATACTAGTACTGAGACCAATATGGATGGTAAAAATTATAGTATTATAAGTTTAAAATTTAATATGTAGGTATTTAAAATTTACAAAATGATGGTTTATGCGATTTATCACGCAAGAAATTTATACGCTGACACCCCCCCTCTTTGGAAAAGCAATAATGTATATAGTTTGTGAAACGCTAAAATGCCCCCTCCGTTTTTACGGAACAAAATACATGTAAATTTTCAAAAATGCAAGTCAAACTATAAGTTTAAGGTCAAGAGATAAAATAAACTTTTGGTATCTAAATACATATGTTGTAAAAGTGTTGTTTGTGATCATTGATCTTTTTTTTCTGATAAAACTTTTTTTAGAACGGCTTAACCTTTTAAGGATTGGAGATAAAGTTTTCTTAGTTAGGTGATTTGCTTTTGAGAAACTTCCATTAAAATATGTAAACTACAGAAATTAGAAAAATCATTTCTTTTGTTTTGCAGCTGCCATTCAGTGGTCTCAATGTTTCACATACACATCTTGGCCATCTAGTAATTGGAAGATAATTCAGCTACAGGATCCTTCAAGGTATTAAGTTCCAAAATCTGTATGAATTACAATAATGAAAGTCATTCTGATCTTAACTTGCATGACGAGTATGGGTGTATTTTAATATACTGATAATTCATCCCCCGCCTACAGAATCTGACCTATATAAACACAGAGATTGGTGTGTCCTCGTTGATTGTTTTATATCTGGTGAAGCCTTTGTAAAATTTTAATGCAGCATCCTATGGAACAATGACCCACTTTTTTATGTGTCTTCTGACGTTTGTAAATACAGCCTTGATTTAAGTGCCAGGCTTCCTCGCTTAAAACATAAAAAAAACCAATTACAGAGAAATGATTTATCTTACATAAAGTATAATTATTATATTAATTTTTTAAATAGGTATTGATAGAAGAATTACACGCTTAGTTTGGACTTTCATAAGGCGTGGCGTTCTCGACGTTACCTAATTAGCTTCTGAAATTTACACAACTTCCCTTCACTGTTGAAATATACATATGATAGAAATGCGGCCGAATGTCAACTGATGACGCATTTCTATCATATGTGATAGGGAAGCTGTGTAAATTTCAATGCAGCTAATTTTTTTAGGTAACGTTTGTAAATACAGCCTTGATTTAAGCCTAAAAAAACCAATTACTGAAAGTCCAAACTTTTATTATATTATTTTTTAAATAAAAAAACCCTCACCATAACAAAGATGTTTCCGTGAATAGGGGTGATAAAGAAGCGAGCGTTCGAATGGAGTACTTGTTAACCCTGGCAGTAGATGAACGTATGCACACCATTAACGTTATTGCATGCATTTATTGTAGAAAAATCAGTCGATATGGTCCTATTCCTCAAAAGTTGTCATTATCGGTATAAATAAGAAAGGATTCATTTAGTTTACATGTATCATTCTCTATTCCACTTTGCTGAAGAGATTAATAAATTAAATGAGATCCTGTTAAGTATTATCTGTAAATGTATTATATTTAGCGTGTACGATATTTGGTGGAAATTAATTTTTGAACAAATTAATGTAGTTTGATTTAGCGCATTTCTAAATGTTGTTATTTATGAATACATCTAAGACATTTAGCGTTGTACTTGAATTAGTGGATTTTTCTTTCCGCCAAAAGCGCTAAAAAGAATACACAGCCAAATATAATACGTTTACAGTATCTGTATATGTTTCAGCATTTGATCTTTTTGGAGGACATTCCCCCCACAAGTATCTTTCTTTAGTTACATTATGGACTGGAAAAAGAGAATCCAAACAGATTTTGTTTTAGACGTATTGAATCAATCGGATGCATTGGACATGATAAAATACTGGGGATATTATGTATATATGTGATCATTTATATGATTGAAACTTGATTATTAGGAGAAGTAAAAAAAAGTGAGAGAGGACAACGAGAATGGCTTCCAACAGATTGTGAAACTCTATGGGTACTAATTGTGCCCCTTTATTAGCCTATTGTACATGTTAATTAATTGAATGATGAAGTAAACACCTGTCCTATCCTTTTACTCAACATATGAATTTCACTGCAAAAAGAACAAGAAAATTAATACTAAAAACTCCCTTTATTTTGCAGAGAGTATTGCAAAAGTGACCGAGTTCTCAGCTTCATCAAATCCTGAAAAAATCACTGGATGCTCGACGATCTGAAAGCTCAACCAATTAAACACAACAAATGACAACAATTCAACAAACAAATGTAAGAACAAATTTTATATTTTATTAATTGTTACTGCACCTGCATTGCTTGTTCCTTTAGTTACACACTATGTATCTGCACGTATAATAATAGTACATGTCAGGCAAAGAGAAAATACACTGTACAATCGTATATTCTTAATTAAGTCGGTATCAAATGTAACCGAAAATTAAAGTAACTATCTATATACTTTAAGGAAAATAGATTTATAAAAATATTATTCTTTTCACCATTTCGCAAAGTTGCAAGATTACACATAATGCCAGGGCTTGGGACTCGAGAAATTATTGATTAAAAAAGACTTTTAATCCTTTTGATTCAAGAAAAATACTCGAATTGCAAGGTCAAGGCTAACAGAATTGCGTGGTACGTAATATCAGGTGCCCTGATCAAATCCTTTACATCGACCTCTGTTTTGCAAGCCAAACAGTTGGAGGGTAAATTTTTTTGATATCAGATTTTTCAAAGCGTGCCACACATGTATTTGATTGACTTTAATCAATGTATATTACCCACAAAATTGGTATCGATTCCTATAGTTCCGGAATTATTTTTTTGTTTTTTTAATGGCGTGTAACCGCGTCGTCGGCTGTACCATACTTTGATATGTAAAGAAATGTAAAAATGATTTAAACAAGCAGCGGGCTGACGTTTGATCATATTTTCTACTTTAGTCTAGTTGATAAAGAATAATAAAATACGGTAAGGAGGGGGTAAATAATAGGGGTAATTGGCGTTCTATACGATGTCAGATTTCGTTCTTGTCCTGCTGCGGGCGAAGAGCTGCGGCGGGTTATAAATACACAGACCCTTCCATTCAATTATATATGCGGACTTACAACATCAAAAATTTTGTAAAACACATTTTTACAAAGATTTCTAAACAAACAGGAAAAGGAACTGCTAGGTAAACATCCGTATTTTGTGCGTCTTATAAAGGAGTTCTGGATCACAAGTCAAGTGATACGTATATAAAATAGATCGACCCGCAATCCTCAAAATACGCAGCATCAAAACAGTTATAGATTGAAAAGGCGTATATTGCACAATAGTCCTATACAAATGGTCTTGTGAACATGCTTATTTCCTATCATGTTTATAGTGTAGAATTACTTTCGTTTTAGTAACGATGATCATGAGAAATATTCCACATCACAAGCTATGTACATGGTGAAAAGTGTGCAAATCTTACAGATACTAATACCTGTACATGAATATTTATGAAGAAAATTGGTTGTTATATAACCACCTAACTCCATCTCATCACAACTAAGCATACAGAAAAATATCAACAGTCGTATATAGAATAAAAAACTAAAGGTTGTATGAACTTTTGTCACTTTTGTGACCACAATGGTTATACAACATTGGAAAGACATCGCCTAATCTCTAGTGTTGGAGGTAGAAAATGTGGGGAGGACTACTCACATATACACACACTCTTCTATGTAGAAAGTTAAAAAATTGTGCGTACGCGTACAATGTACATATCCATGACAAGTATAAAGAATATGAAAATAAATGGTATATGGCAAGTTAAGTTCCATGAAATGTACAAAATGTGTATACCCAAATATTACGAATAAAGCAATGATTTGCCATTTTCTCGTCACTTTTTCAAAAGAAAAAACCCACAAAACATTACATGATCAGTGTTAAACACAACTTGTCCGTTTTGTGCAGCAGAAACGCGCACTGTTACTCTCATCCCAAACACGTCCATACTACGTTCCCTAGTCCCCATTGGCGTTGTTCTTTTCATCTTGTCCTGAGAAAATCAGTTCTGCCTGAGAAAAATAATAGCAAGTTCTTAACACAATATAACATACACTGTCTTTGCAAACACTGTTTTTGAATGTAAAATCGCGCACAGGCTCTTGTGTCGTGTGTCGTCTCTGAAACATTCTGTGTTGACATTTCATGACGTCATCACTAGTGAGCACAAGGCGGTTGTTCCACCGGCGTCAGTGGACCGTACCGGACGCTGCTAATGGACCGGAAGGAGAAAATGGAGGGGTCGGACAAACATTTTGATGTTACCGTATTACCTCCGCTCACGGTCTGAAAATAAAATAAAGGATGGATTTGAAAATTACCATTAGAATAGGATTTCATTATTTCTTTAAATTCATTCTAGACATCATAAAATGGTATGCACATATGAAGAATCGTGACCTAGATAAGTGCAGATAAAACATGAATAGATACAGTATTGTCTTACAATGGTTGCGATTCTGTTAATTTGTATCTTCAACGGATTATATAAAGACTGTGTTTGACAGTGTCAGTAAAATTGCTTCGAAGGTAATAAAGACAAGATTATAAATGTCGTGAAAATGATTCCGGTCTTTGTTTTTATCAAGTAACAATTTTTCTAATATTAAAGCTCCACTCTCATATTAAGTGAGAAGTGATGAAGAAAAATAACTTTATGAATCTACAGAGATTAAATCCCCCGAGGAATTAAATCTGTAACGAGGCCACTCCGAGGTCATTAAAGTAGAGAAGATCATACAACACGTGAACAACGGCAATAACGACTCGTCTTCTGGATACTATAGTATTTTATTTTAGAAGAAAATCACCTGATATGGAGCAATCAGCAGCAGCGTACACAGACGACTCCTAGCATTGTTATAACCTGACCCTGACATTGACCTTTACAAGGAACCAATAAGACCCTGATTTGCTTTCTTTGCTTTGTATATATATTTATAAACAACAGATCCACTCTGTGCTTCTGCCAAGATTAGTAATGTGTTTTACAACAGCAGATGAAAGTAATAGCCGTGAGAGAATATTGTCGCGAGCAGATCCACTGCATATGAATCAGGATGATTTTTGTATTACAGGCACCAATGAGCAATATATAGCTTCCATCTTAAATAGTTTAAATAATAAGTTATTCATGTACTTCTTAACAATCAATCAATTATAATTTTCTAATGTAAGGTACTTAAAAATCAAATAGCGAACAAATCCTATGAAAAAGTCTTTTTAATTTTTAGTCTTACAATTTGCATTTTTGCAATTCTTCTGCTATTTGGCTATCGCTTTCGTATCACTTGTGTATGTAAGGTAAAATCACGAATGACACTTTAGTCAAATCTTTTTAAATTATCTTAATGCGTTGATACATTACTGAAGAGTAAAAAATGAGCGATATTATCATGTTTAAAGTATAGAAGAAACTCGCATGTTTCAAGTGTTTCCTTTCAAAATTACGTGACAAGCAAAGCGTAATCATAAAGCGTGCAAGGTTAACATTAATGGGGGATCAAATGTTGGGGTCGATTTGACGCCTATGCGCCAGGAATTGATGCTTGCTACCAAATCACATGTAGAGTATGCTATGTAAATACCAAAAGGCATAAAAGTTCCTTCCATCTTTAAATACTAGTAACTACCTTCTAATGCACCAGGGCTTACCTTGTATCTTGCTACTGCGATTAAGGACTATTCAATTGTATCTTACTACTGTGCTTAAACTGCTTTGTAGCTTACTACTTTAATGAAAGATTCCCTTGTAACTTAGTACTGTAAGCAAGGACTATAATAGTACCTTATAACATTACTGTTATATAGGACTGTGTTATAGCTTGCTACTGTAATAAAGGACTTTGTTGTAGCTTACTACTGTAGTAAAGGTCTGTGTTATAGCTTACTACTGTTATAAAGGACTACGTTGTAGCTTGCTACTGTAATAAAGGACTGTGTTGTAGCTTACTACTGTTATAAAGGACTGCGTTGTAGCTTACTACTATAGTAAATGTCTGTGTTGTAGCTTACTACCCTTATAAAGGACTGTTGTAGCTTGCTACTGTAATGAAGGTCTGCATTGTATATCTTGCTACTGTAATAAAGGACTGCGTTGTATAGCTTGCTACTGTAATGAAGGACTGTGTTGTAGCTTACTACTGTTATAAAGGACTGCGTTGTAGATTGCTACTGTAATGAAGGACTGCGTTGTAGCTTGCTACTGTAATAAAGGGCAGGACTGCGTTGTAGCTTGCTACTGTAATAAAGGGCAGGACTGCGTTGTAGCTTGCTACTGTAATGAAGGACTGCGTTGTAGCTTGCTACTGTAATAAAGGACTGCGTTGTACATTTACTACCATAATAACCATGATGGCCTGAAGAAATTGTTCCCAAAAATAATCAATACAATAGACTCGGCAGTTTTGAACTCTGTATAACATGCTCACTGCCCACCACATGGAATCATTTCCAGCCAAACATTGAAAAATTCACCCTCCCATCTCTTAACAAAAGTTATTGGAGTCTGGATTCCTTGTCAACTTGTGCCTGGCACGGTAGCCATTTAATCACTTTATTTGACCGATAAATGGCCAGAAGAAACATGAATTGATAAGGAGGCTGCAAAGTTCACTGATATAATGGGGTGAAAGAAGCAAAATAGTTACCCATAATTGCCAATCGTTTAACATTTTTTCTCGCGTTTACCGGAACCAATTCAAGTACATAAAAGGCAAAATCATACTTTTATTCTGCATTTTTCCAAAATGCATTATCTTCATACAAGCTATATGAGAAAAACGCTAAGTGTCTGAGACTTAATTTTTTTCAATATCCGGTCAACATAACTATATCACAAGAAACTCTAGAAATACTTGTAATTATTGCCCATTTATGAATTTCTAAGTGTTTACAGTTTGCTCCTTGACAACAAAAAGTATAATAAACACAGAAAGAGTTTGGGGGAACTGATATGAGATTGGATTTTATATTTTAAGTCATAGATTGTTCTGGTCATTTTTTTTCACACCAATTTTTAAAAACTCTTCTACCAAGATTTATTTATACAACCAATTTTGAGTTAATAGACAAAAAAATCCTCTCCCGTGTCTGCGAATAAAATGTTAAATCCATTTTCTTGGTCTGAACGGCGTGATTCCGGAATACTCTTCTTTGTTTGCGTGTATCTTGCCTTTGTCGATACCCTATCACTGTTTAATTAAGCTTATTTGGCAGATAAGGATAGTCATCATTTTGAAATGCCTGGAGAAAGCTTCCCTGTGGCCTGTCCAATTACTGACCATTTACAGAGAATGACCAAGTTCGCGTTTGCCACTCCTTATAACTTAATCAGGGAAGCCAGATAAAGCCTTCTTAACAGGTCCTGGTCATTGTACCGCAGCTGTCTGCAACATTCTGCTCCAACAGCGGAAACAGAATGAACATTGTAGAATTCAAACCAAATTAAGTCAGCATGTTGTCGGAATCACTATCGACATTGTAACGAAGCAGAGCATTATTATCCTCGCTGTTCATCTTACTCTTAATGAACTAACAGTTCCAAAAAGTTTATATCTAGTGTAATAAGCACTTGTTAATTAAAGTGCAGTGACAAAGAAAATTTCTACTTGCATATTTCTCGTGGAACACTGTGACCTCTGACCGACTTTGAATACTTCAACCTACTTGCAAAGTTATGCTGTCAATCTGAGAAGTGGCGCGCTTAATCGTCTTGAATACACTCATTAAACTGTTTTACTGCTAATGGGATCGAAGAGAGCGCGCACTGCAAATCGTGCAGAGCACGCGCCTGCAAAAAGTAATGATTTAGCTGGCGAGAAAGAGATAGGGGTATCAATTCAACAAAACCCCATTAAAAATGATAACTTAAGCTTTACAGTACGTTTAAATTATTACAGTATGTCTTGCATTTGTAAAATTCGGCACACATATGATAAGCATTTCGGCATTGGGCCAGAAGGTTGAAGTGCCTAGCTTTAGGTATCCTTGAATTGTTTGTGTATGCAATCATGAAAACAAAAGATACTACAAGATAACAATATAGACATTGCTTTTCCGAGGACAGCAAAGAAAAGTATTTCCTACCTAACAATACATATTCAAAACTAATAATCAGATGGAATTAAGAATTAAATAAATTAATTAAAATAATCCTTTTTTACATGTACATATTTTCGTAATCAAATCATTGTAAAACCAACCATTCTGTTATCTTTTTGTATTGAAAGAATTGGCAGATATTTAACTGTAATAAATTTCGCACACTATGCAAAAGGGTCTTTCATCGTAGGTTGCACTAATGGAGCCAAACACGTGAGGGTCATTAATAAACACGCTTCATTGATTTTCCTGGGCTGTTTCGAGAGTTTCACAGTAAGATAAAAAGGTTGATAAATATCTCTGTTTACTGCATTTACATATCAAAGATCCACGTTATGTTTTTGTTGTTTTTAAAAAATATATATAGTGTTGATGAACATATCAGGAAATGTTCAGAAAAATGAACATTCGAAGCCTTTATAATGATTGAGAGGGGGAAAATCCGCAAACCAAAAAACTAGAGAGATTTGAAATATGTTTCAAGTCGAACACGTTTTACCAGAAGAGTATCCACTGAACATCTACATGAACGCTACTTATAACGACGTTCATGTCAGTATCTTTTTATTGATTTTGCATTTGCTTGACCCATATGGTGTAATATGCAAAAAATGGATATAAATAAAAATTTCAAGTAAAACTATCTATTTTGAATTAAAAGTATCTACTTCTACTTCAAAAAACTGAAGCCTTTTGGAAGGATTATAGCCCGTGTGAAACTGATTGAGTAATAATCCAAAGAGCTTCCTCGAGAGAGCGCTAAGACTTTAAAATACTTACAATAAATCAAACCGTTTTTCTCCGGAAAAAAAAAATAAGCAAAGCGCTGTTGATTATATTAATTAATTGCACGCGGTAGGATTGTCAAAATTCGGGGGTTTATGTCTGTTTCCAGCAGCTTGCTATAATAATCTGAACGGCTGCCAGGAGAAAGCGTGGGAAACTGCTCGAGAACATCTACAAAACATTACATTGGCACATTTCTCTTGCATGTTTTGGCAGTGTCGCTCTGATGCTATCAGCAGGCCGTTAATAAGTTCTTCCCATTATTTTCTTGGACTGTTACATCAATAGATAAAGCCACACACGGACAATCAGACGTAGAAATCGCCCTTAACTGAGAAGATACACGTCAAGATTTTCCTTTTATACCCATTATCTCCCCTTCTTAGAAAAAGGTCATCATAAAAACAACCTTCTGTATTTCCGTCTGGTATGCAGGTTTTGTGATTGGAGAAATATACACGGCAATTAAACGAAACGACATTCTCTTACAAATATATCACAGTTTCATGTGACAGTTCAATTTTGCATGCAAAAAGCATGATAAAAAATTCAAACCAATACCATAAATGGAGTGGGACTATAAGAATTCAAATCTATTGGGGGTTGAGATAGAAAAATTCAAACCAACGCCAAAAATGGAGAGACTAGGGTTATGAATGGTAACCTAAATAACTAAAACAACAAGCAATATACTCGAGTATATGCAAAACTGAAATCAAAATCAAAGTTATTTTATCAGTGCTCATTTTTTTTCCAAGTGTACGTTCAGGAAAAATCTGCAACAACCCCGGGCCCTTTTTAAAAATTATTATATTTCGTTCAAAGAAAAAAATGCTACCGGTAGTACTATAGTTCAATGAAAATAATAGTAACCATATTTCTATGGAATACACAAGGTAACAATATATAAATACTGCATGTAGTTGAGTGTAACATTGAAAATTTTCACCCCAAGAAAACCATTGTCAACCGAGGCGCAGCCGAGCAGCCTCGGTTGACAATGGTTTTCATGGGGTGAAAATTTTCAATGTTACACCCAACTACATGCAGTATTTATCATATTATACTGTATGTTTTATATAAATACATATAATAGAGAACCGTACGCGCATAACTTCTGCGCAGTCGCTGTTTTTTGGAATACTACCCGTCGTCAAGCAATGTTGACTGTTGCTACGCTGGAGGGCGTGGCTTCATTATTGCGGGTAGTAGTGTTTTTTAGCAAATGTTTCTCGATCAATCAGATTTAACTAATTTACCTGAAAGTATAATGTTAGGAACTGTTCACTACTTAGATTGATATTAGTTTTCTACTAATGTTGTTCTCTCTCTCGAGGCTCCACATACTTCTCAAATTTGAAGTGCATATAAAATTCTAGTAAAACTATTTGATTGTGTATACCTCCTGAGACTAATATTTATCAGAATAAAAGTCAGTTTTGAATCATCACGTTTCTCCTATTTAATGCTGAAACGCCTTTAAAATCGGCGTAAAGCAATAAAAAAAGATATCTTTACAGTTGCCGTTCCCGCACGGGCACTGTAGGAAGGAATGTGTCTAGTGGTCAAACCAGTGATTTCTGACCTCAGACATCTAAAACCTGCTTCTTATCTGCATGTCTTGACAACAACTTAATTTAAAAAGAATATCTTTAATTGTTGGACTGGTTCATTTACAGCACGTGGCTCCGCTGGTTTGGCTAGTCTCGCTCTCTCTTTGGCACCGCTGTGGTTTCTCTTTGGCCCCTAATACTATCTAGAACAACTGCTCGATGCTGAATGATGGTTGATAAGGCGAGATCTTATCGGATTAAATTTATTAGGTAAAAGGTAAAATTCTGGGCAATTATCCCGATATCTCTCAAACACGTGTTCGAATATTGCTCTCTGGGGATGAAACCAAGTGTCTACAACTTTAACGTCTGAGAAATCAGACTACAAAAACCACGAGACGGGACATAGTATTCACTTCCGAACCTTCAAATCCCGCATAAAAACAAAAATTCAGCAATGCACTCTACTTACACCATTTTTTGTTGCAAATCCTTTAAGAGATAATAATTATATTTCCCCTTACCTTGACCTTTACAACTTTTGCTTTGCCAACATTGTGTACACATTGTTTTTTCACTGCATTCTTCTGAAAGAAAAAAAATAAAAACATAGAAAAGATTGATTATTTTCAAACAAGACTAAAACTGCACATATTTAAATATTCACATTTCAATAATATGAAATATTCAGCATCTGCATAAACACATTTGTATTACGACTTGGCGTAAATGAGTATATGTTCCATTAATTCGATTTTACAATGGTTAACTAGGCGATTAAAATACCAAAAAACAAAACCGTACAGGACGGGGAGTTACAAACATTCACCAGTTAAAACCACAGCTAACTCATTTAGACATATAAAATTTAAATTTTTCATTAAAAAATATATGTTGTTTAAGGCTTCCTGTAATTAGCAGATGCACCGCGCGCTCTTAAATCATTCTATAGTTTCTTGTTTATAAATTTCCAATCAATTTTATTCCAAGTCAGCCTTTTTCTAAGACATAAATGAAAATAAAGAGGGCCTTGTGCTTAGAATCTGCCATCACGCGCCATAAGGAGAATGCAGATGCGGATCTGGCGTCTATTGACATATAAACGGTTCTTCTGTCATCAAAAGGTCTGCAGACGGAAATAAATACCAAATATTTATCTCTTGAAAGAAACAAAGTTCGACTTTTTTTCTACAAATGGGGGGAAAAACATTCATAGTGAATGCATGGTCCGACCACCATAAAATTCATTATCAAACACTATACAAATCAATTCCATTCAAAATTCATGGAGATTCAATTTTTCACACATTATTTGTATAAGTACATGTACTGGTTTAATTCGGGCGTTTTCATTATATCATTGAAAGATGGAACGAGGAGATTTAATTAATCAACTCTTTGTTTTATTAAAGTTCACCATTCCTTCTTCACTCGGAGTTCCTCGGATGACTCGTACCTCGCACATTGAATCGAGCGTAGCGGAGTCAGCCGAGGATTGCCGATTGTTCCTTCTTAGGCAGTTACGATGCTTGGTTAATGAGAATTAAGCAATATAGACTGACAACCAGGCAGAATGCAATTCCGAGCACACAAAGATGACTCCACATTTAAACCTCCGCCGAGCCGCTGAATCAGAGCCCTCCGTAAATGACCACTCTCATCGGGAGGCAGAATTTATATACCATAAAACTTCCATTTATACCGAAGAAAACAACTATTTTGGACGAGGAGGAATTCCCTTTATTCCAAGCCTGGAATATTTCATTTACACTGAATGGTTCAATCACCATTAAACAGGGGTCACGCCCCGAAACTCTCTCCTGGAACCTCAGTAGACAAAAAATATGTTGCTTAGTTTGATTAACTTGTAAGCCGTTACATTCCCCGTGGTTCTCAAATGACTTTTACTAGCAACTTCTTTCAACATAAAAATACATCATTATACATAGTTTATAGCGGCAAATCACAGTAGGTCGTGTGGAACGTGGTCCGTTATTTCATCTTGGGACCACTATTCCAGTTTTTAACCAACTCGGGAGGAAATGTTTCTTTTTATTCCAGGATTTAGTAGAGAGAGTAGTTTTTATTGCTTTTTTTCTTATGCATGGTTCCGATTTATATGATGAAAAACAATGCCTTTAATTTGATCAAAATAGGGTACATTGTTCAATATCAGGGTGAATTGTACAATGTTTTAGTTTCGTGTTTCTCCAGATGTTATTTATATTCAGTTTGCTTTGAGAATGGTCGTGTTTCCTGACTATCGTACAATACTAGTACTCTACCACAAGGAAGTATATCAACCTTGATTTAGTTTATACAGGCATGTCTTACGTTATTACAGAGAATGGCTTATACGCCTTGGTACAGTACATATTAAACAATACATAATGTCGGACTGGCGCGTTTCTTGTCTATAGAACATGAGGGAAAGGTCAATGCTGGTCGAACTAGCTAATGAAGAATCTAAAATGAAATTTATTTTGGCAAAACCTTGAGAGCTGAGAAATTTTCAGACAACACGCTTTTTCTTCGCAGGAATATTAATAAAAAAATACACGTCAATGAGAGATGGACTCACGCCTTCAGTTCGTTGTCATACTTAAACCCAAACCTTTCCATTTGTTGAAATAGTTCAATACTTTAGCGATTAGAAGACAAAAATAAAATAAAACTGTCATTTCAAATCTGTAAGAATTACTTCAAGCAAATATCTACTGGCATTTGTCTTAGATCACATGAAAGTCAAGCATTTGAGCAAATATTTTACTGTCGTGAACATCCTTTCACAGGTGTTTTGAAGGATCAGCTTTCTAGTATATGCGTATAAGCACTGTATATATGTGTCGTTCACTAATTAACAACTTTTCAATTGCCAATGAGTACATGACTAATAACTCAATGGCAATTGAAAATTATTCATTAGTGACAGACACATGTAAGCATCGTGTTCAATCATTGTGTATAAGCATTGGATATCCTCGTCTTAAGCATCGCAATAGTCCAGCCGAGCGGTGGGTGTTCGCCGGCAGTTTCAGCTGCGGCTCAATTATTTTACAGACTGTACATAAAATATCAACATGTTCATGATTCTCATCGTAGCAATATAAAATCTTGAACGAACATTTATCTGAACAAATAAGGGACATGCTCTTGATCATTGTTGAAGCGCCTCATCACCAACTTTTTTTTTTTTCATTTTCTGTCTGTAGGATTTAATCATTGGCGTTGTCATTTACAACTCCAAGTTTTTGGAGAAAAAAGTTCAGCTCTGGGACACGCAGCACGAAAAAGATCACACCTCAACGCCACTTACAGCTAACTAATCTTTCGCGGGGTGACAGGCGAGATCCTACGAGACTTGCGAAGGTGACAGGCGGGATCCTACGAGATTTGAACGGGCTGGCCAAGAACTCTCCGCTGAGTGACCTTCGTGTATTATTTCTGAATGGATGGAAGAAAGGCCGTGAATGTCATTCTTAAACTACAGGGTACAGTTTTATGTTATCACATGTAAATTGTACTTATTGATCTACTAAAGAGAGTAATTGCATACATAAAATAGTGAATAATTCCTACCGAAACAAATTTGCATTTCTTATGAATTGACACCTTTTAGCGACAAATGATTTCTATTTACATAAAGTCAATCAGCTGCACTTTCGCTAGCCAATATCAGGAACTGGTGCCGTAGTAATTCCTGACAACGGATTCCGAGCCCGAAGACGCGCTGTAATCTTGTGTCATTATGAATGAAATTAAAACCATTCATTCTTCATCTGATGGTTTAACTGACATCAAATTATACTCCGAGAACCAACCAAGATTGACGATTTATTGTACAGCATCTGTAAGGTATTGCACGTTGGACAGGATTTTCAACTCTGTTATTCGATTTTCCTTGCCTACTTCTCACAATGTGTGCAAAAAAAGATCTAGCTATCGAACTTGGTTGAAGAAAGCAAACCTAATTTGGTTTATTTTATACTTTAAATAAAATGACATCCGGGTAACAGTAAGACGAGAAAGGTTTGGATTTCAATCCAAGTCCGCCGCCTGCATAGAAAATATTCCCTGAGTGAATGACAATCTCAATTAGATTGGCGATGTACGACTGTGTAAGACGAGATTTAATCTAAAGGATGTGCTTCTCCTGTAAATCAGATGCCCCCTTTATAACGTTTTATATACACTTGACAAATTCTCCTTACTCCTTCAAGCAATGCAGCATACTAAATATGGCATTCACTTCCAAATAGCCTGAAAAGATTGAACCTAAATGAAACCTTGAGGCAGGCCACATTACATTTTTCATATACGGTATAAAATGTACATGTTTTCTACATATTGAACACTGAAATGAAAGGTTCATGCCGTTTTACATTAACCTGAATAAGTTCAAGAAACGGCGCTCATTCAGAACAGAACAGATTTCTAATATAAAAAAATGGGGGATTTTTGTGTCTTTCCAAGCAGGCTTTACACCTCTATTAATGCACATGATGTATGCATGTTCTTTTTAAAACTTGAATATAGGAGACTTACTGCATCTAACAATAGCGTATTTATAAGTCAGATGTCTAAACACTTACAGCACCCTGACCAGCGTTCACGTCTCATGACGTCATCTGCAACTGTTGTAAGAATTTGACACATAGTGATTGTCCACCTCCTTCCCTCGTAAGGATAAAATATTCTTATACATCGTCTATTGTCAAGCTGTTGGGACTATTGGAAATAGCTGCAGTGTACAAGAACAATGCCACAGAAGCCAATCAATAGCTAATTATACCGGCTCCTGCTTTATTTAAGGTAATCAAAGGAGGGCGGCTTAAAAACAGATTAATATGTTATGAAGAATTTCATACTTTTGTGGGAAGTAAAACGTATCCAGACTTCCAAAACAGCCCGAGATTGATATGCCATTATATCAATATTGATAAGAGAAATAAAAAATATTGAATACACCTTTTCCCTTTCAAGCAACATGAGTTTTGCACACAGGATTTTTTTCTTTTATGTTCATTAATTAAACAAGAGACATAAACTACAAATTGCCTTTCTTTCATATGAGTTAATGACCCAAAGATAAAACTTTAAAAATATTTTTTTTAAAATCAACAGAAACGTAGAATAAATAATGTAATCAAGTTCTATTTAGTTTTGTTTTGTATATTCATTGTTAATCGCGTCTTTCAGTATGGGGAGAACGATCGAGTCATTACTTCTGATCATGATTTGGTAACTGTGAAATTGATGTTACATTATTCTAAGCAAAGAGGATCCAGTACTGCGCATTACTAAATTCATGGCACATACTTGTATCATTCAGAAAATGCTCTAAACATATTTCGGTAATGCCAATTCTCAAATTTTTTTTATTAATCTATAATTTGCATTTTAAGCTGTTTCATTTGAAGTTCAAATACCTCAAAGAAATCACACATTTCTATCAGTGTTTCGCCCCCTAGGTGGGATGATACCTTTTCTACGACCCTCTACAGATGACCATTCAATAAGATACAGTGACCATCACGGTGCTGGCACGTTGCCAGTGGCTGAATCAGCAGAAAAGCTATAATAACGGACAATTGCCCTGTACGTAATCCTGTAAAATATTTATTAGAGCCATAATCAAGCCAATCTAGGCGCTCTGCTCAGGTGTTTCTTTTCTGTTGTCAAAATCGTATCCGATTTCACCACAATTTTGCACACCATGTGCACAGCCTATTAAACTAACTCGCTTTCTAAGAAGTGTATTTTTACATTTCAAAGGCAACTCATATATTTTTTTCAGTAAAGCGATAAGCACTTAAGGGTAATAAAGTATTTTTACTCTATTGAAATTTGGTCGTAAAGCAAAAAAAAAAAAAAAAAAAAAAGAGTGCCGTGCGTTCTTGGAATTTTCAACTTTGAAAAGAAGATGCACGACTTTTAAAGTTATGCTTTTAAATTATCTCCAATCACATAAGTTAAATAAAAGGAATTAAAATCCAGTCCTGGGGTGTTTATTTCCTGGCATTATAATCAAATATCACGCCTACAGTCCTCATACCATTCAAAGTTATTTAAGAAAAATACCATTAAATGGTTCTAATTTTTTCTTCTTGGGATCAAGGTAAGCCTGGTAAGGACAAGAAAATAAAAAAGCTAAGTAAATGCTTATTAACTTCCAGCTAAACATGATTATTTTTAAAAATCCGTATATATGGAGCAGAGCTGTGTACAATGTAGACATGTAATAGGAACTGCACCACCCCGTAACACGAAAAACTTAACCTAACCCTATTTTACCTTTTATTGCTCATAGTAATATTTAGATCAATCAGAGATTGCAAACTAATTGTTTCATACACAAGGCAATGCATGCGAGTCCGACTTTCCTAAACCAGCAATTATTCATTTGAAGGTGATCGATATATTTATCGAAGACCGTTCAATCATTTAGACTCCGATCTAGGTATTCACAGCCCAAAGAGTTCAATATGTCACAACAAGTCGTCTTTCAATTCATCAAGGCCAGGATCTAAGCAGATTGTACTGGTCAACATGCAGTTCCAATGAAAAGCGTTCCAAATCGAAACAGACAAACAAACAAACAAGTCCGATCTGTCCGAAATACAGAGGATGACCTGTCCCCTGCATGTCGGTTCTGGAGATTCGGAGAAACATGCGCTCTTGTAATCAGATTGCCCGACATTGTTAAATGCACTAACAAAGATAACCAACAGGACGTCATTAAAATAGAGGGAAATAGATTTTCTATAGAGCTATGCTAAAAGCCAGACATAGTGACAAAGGCGCTGAAAAGACGGCACTTGGAGAAAGAACACCCTCTCGAGGATAAAAGCAAGCATGATGTAGCAGACTGAAATTTTGCCAAATGGATCTTAAATCCTATAATATTAGCATTGTTAAGTCTTTGAGTTGCTTTTAAATAGCGCAAAAAAGCTTCCGCTCATGTGAGCGAGTTTATTGAGGCTTTCGGTAAACGTATATTCACCAGAAGAAAGGGTGGTTTTCTTGTTATTCGTGTAACGAGTTTTATTTTTTCCATTGAAATTCTGTCATTATTTGTGCCTGATTTAACACGCAGGAATAGCAAACCTCTGCAACTGCATGCCGTTGCTCCTTTTCTATGAATAGAACGTCATACAGGCCTTACCGGATGCAGTTATTATTTGGTCCATATTTTAAAAGCTCATTTCCTCTCATTGACGAACGCGGACGTAACGCTTTATCTCGCCAAGTTTATGTGCTCAGATCGCACTTCAGTTACTTCTCCACCAAGTTGTACGAATTAAAACATAGTCCTGCTTTAAAGTGTACGACCTTGACCTTTGCGGACAATGCCATTTCAGTGAATATAAAAATCACAACCCCAAACTAGTATTGTACATGCACTCTATTATTTTACTTTCATGCAGTTTTCGCTTTATACATTGTCCTGTAAGTTTCAGAATATTCATGAAGCTTTAACACATTGGTACGACGTACTAATGACAAATTTTAGTTACTGCCCACAACATGGTATTGGTGTTTCATCAGACCTGAACAAGGAAACCCAGTGATATAACAAACACTAAATACAGTTTTGTCTCCTGGCTATGTTGTAAAAATTTCACAGACGTAATTTAAGCGGACAATGAACTTCGGGTTTAAAGAGGCTGCATGTATGTCAACATTTTGACATAAAATCTCTTTGAACAACACGATGGCGTTTTTTTTTTTTTATTTATACAAAATTTTATTCACAAAAGTGAATGGGATTGGGCAGCAGGCAAAGCCTATTTTAGCCCTCTCCCTACAAGGTCAAAATGAACACACAATATATAGATATGAAAATAAACGATGGCGTTGATTGCATTAGCCAGAAATCATTGTATTCATACTGTACAGTACTTACTTACTTAAATCTAAATTTCAATTCATTCGTTTAAAATGAATGCCTGAAATTAACATAAAACAACAACGAACGAGGGGTGAAGAAACAAAGAAAAACGTAGCGAAAAGTGAAGAATGATTTATCCTACGGCGAATTAAGCTACAGAAGTCAGTTTCTCATTTCACGTTCCCCGTTTTATTCTACGTCTTTTATCTTTATATATCTGTAGAATGCAATTCGTATCTATAGATTATAATATGTAAGGATTGAAGTATTCATTTACCTGTAATTTGTTCTTTTCGAGCTTTCTCGAATAACATATTTTGTTATTTGTTTTTATATTGATTCAGCAAATGACTTTTTTTGTCCTTCAACATGTTCAAGTCAGAGAAGATTGTGAAAATGTCAGCGATAGAGGTAGTTTCTTAAAACACGGGCAGCGAAAAACAAAGCATAACCTCGCAAATGGGCACTTTTGTGAGAGGTTTGTAAGGTATGACAACGAATTCTGGAAAAAATAAATCTGAACCCGATTGCACATAACTCAATATTTACATTAAAGAATAATAATGAAATGCTGAATTCAATGTCAACATGTTGAATTTATATTTCGGTGAAAGCAATACAAAAATGTGAAGAATAAAAAGACTTGGAATATAATATTATTTCTTATTAAACCTTATCAACATGATCAAAAATGATCAGGATGTCACTAATAAAACAACATAAAACATTTGATTTGCAGTTTTCCTTCCTTTTAAGAAATTTTCAATCATATGAGACGGCACTAAGTACCAGTAAAGGGCTATAATCTTTATCGTGCCAACGCCCTCCGCGGGATACGTTTGTTTCCAGAAAAACCCGTGACTTTCACTCCTATTGCCGAGCGCTTGGCGAAGGAACAGTCACTATATACGTTTTAGAATCGACGCAGGTCTAGAGACCTCCCAATCACAAAACGGGTGCTCTACTACAGGCAAAATTCCAGCTCGTGTCCTTGATATGCAAGATATATTTAAGGTCTAAGTTGCTTTTATTAACATCATTATTTTTTAATCAAAGGGTGTGCAACAAAAATTCTACTGATATGCTGAATGCATACGATTTTAAAGGTTTATTGTCTCAGTTGAAAAATTACAATACATCTGCCATATGTCCAGTTATCAATTAATGATAATTGCCCGCGTGGCGCAGTGTTTAGAGCGTCTGATCTAATGTCGCGAAGTAAGGAGTTAATCTTCATACGTCGCGGATTCGAATCCCATTGTGAAACGTGGAGACCTGTCCTTCGGATGAGACCGTATAAACCGATGTCCCGTGTCGCAGTAAGTGCTGGCTGGAAAAAAAATCCCTCCCTGCTCAAAGACCCTGAGTGCCGAGTATAGGGAAAAAAAATTGCAGGTCTCCACCGGCAAAGGGTGGCGTCTCCATATGAGAAAAAAATTCTTGAGAGGGACGTTAAACAATATACAATCAATCAATCAATGATATAAATAACACCTCATCAGATTTTCGCTAAGTAAGGTGTTTTTTTAAAAAAACAAAATTGAGATTAAAATATTAGACATACCTGCATTTTCTCGAAGTCTAGACTGGGTCGCCTTAAGGCGGACGATTCACTTCCGCTTTCCGAGACTGAAATCTTGCGATGTCGTTTTCTTGGCGATATTAATGCCGGAACGGCTCCCTTTGGAAAAGACAGTTTCGAGTGTGAAGATAAAATTTGGTTTTTCTTTTTATCATGACTTAATACTTTATCACATGGGTTTTCTGATCTTAAACTAGAATTTTGAGACTCTGGTCCGACTATGAAATGGATGGTTCCTTCACAATTCTGTTCATTATCATGATTAAATGAAATACATGTAGTATAATCGACAGTCACGTCCTTAGGAGGTGAGGAACTAAACATTATCGGTTGCGGTTCCAGCATTAGTTCTTTGACTTCCTCGTCAACACTTCCGGTACTGTCGCAGCTTGATAAATGAACATGAGACCATTTTCGTTTTTCTGAGGCGATCTCTTTGTGTATTGTGGACAGTTCCTCTTCTGAGCTATGTCGCTCGAAGTCGAGGCTCTGTCGCTCGAAATCGAGGCTCTGTCGTTCGTAGTCGGAGGTACAGCTAATGCTGTCTAGGCTGTATTCGCTGATTTCGTGGGTTGTCGTTCTAGACATGGAGGATTGGTTGCACGTACAGCAAAAATGGTGGGAACAATCAGAAACAGAGTCATCTGAAACCAGAAAAGATTTTAACGATATTTTTTTTAAATTCATGAAAACAGTTACATCAAAAAGTAATATAAGAGTTTGGGTTTGTAAAATACATTCATGAATATAATTCAACACTGTAGACAAAATATATAATTTCGGTATGAGCGCCTAATGTTGCAGTCCTGAAAAAAGGGTCTGTATTAACTTGACATGTAAGAAAGGGGAAGGGGAGCTGTAATTCCAGTACTTAATAAAAATAATGAGCTGAGGATTTCAAGGCTTTTTCCATCAATAATATTCAATCAATCACGCTGCTTCTTCCTGTCTTAAATTTATCACCAGCATTCTGGATCTAACTAGCGATTACATCATCGGTTCCTTTGAAATGAATCCACAGCACCAAAAGTATATCATGTTTTACGTTTTTCACACAATTATCAAGAGGACATTAAAAATTCTTATCGTGTAGTATATAGGCCATATTATTCTTAATCATATTTAGTCAACGTTTTATTGAAAATGCTTGTATTATGAAAGGGTTTTTTTGGTCTAGCGGATCTAGCAATCGTCTCTGTGACTGGGTGCTACTGTAAAGCAAGTAAAACAATTTGCTCGAAAGCTAAATGACGCCATAAACATAATTAAAGAAATAATTATATAGCAAATTCTTAGAAATTCATGATGGAAATTCACTAAGAAAAGTTAAATAAATATTTATAAAATTCATGTAACGCAATTTCTCAATAAAAGGGACCGACAAATGGGTTCTTGTGCGATATAAAGTAGAAACGTTTAACAAATTGTCACTTGTAAATTTTCTTTCAAACGCCATTTTCCCTGTAAGAAATAATTTGTACATTTGTATAATACTTAAACTGACAGAGACAACCCCAAACGTCTCTTCTGTTAACATCATTTTGGTTCTTAAAAGATAAAAATGCTACCATTATTTGGTTACAGTTTAACGTCTGCAAAATGCCTTTTTTTTTGAAAAAATATATATACCGCATTAAAGAGGTAACTCGAAAGAATTAGGTATCAACACTGCTCTGTATGTTTGCACATAGAGCTGTGGACAAACATGAACGAAACTCGGAAAATCAAATGTAAAACACTCTTATTAAAATTCCTTCTCCTTACCCCCTAAACACCACCACTTAAACATAACCACTAAAATATCATCACTAAAACACTAGAACACTTTCACTAAAACGATATCACTAAAAAAAAAACTATCACCAAAACGCTATCGCTAAACATTATAGCAGAAACACCGTCATCAAAACACTATACCACAATAACACTGTCATCAAAACACTATCACTAAAAGTAAAACACTGTCACTAAAACACTATCACTAAAACACCGTCATAAACTTGTTCCGTGTACGTTTTGCTCATCAAAAACACAAAGGATGATAAAAGGATAAGGCACTCTGGATTATGATATCATTTAAGAATACTTCTGGCTTTACAGAATTTATTCACAGATGCCTCTGAATTTGAAATTATATATTAGGGATGTGCGATTTTATCGATATACCGGTATATCGCGATTTTTTGTTGCGTGATACATATCGTGATACAGATTTTTCCTATGACCTAAAAACCGGTCTTTAGGTACATATTATAAAGTCCAGAAATTATTCATTTCTTTGTTCAATCTTTCAAATTACAATAACAAAAAGTATGAAAAATGTTGTAAAAAGTGAAAAGAACGGCATCTTACCGTCCAAACATTATTGATTTTATATTACATAAAAATTTTAAGAAAGTAAAATTTGTTTTTTTGGCTCAGCATAAATTTTTTAGAAAAATAATGACTTTTCATAAAAAAAATGTAAACACTGCTTTTGAAAATATCATGATATTATCGTGATATCGTGGGAAAAAATCGTGATATATTGCGATACGAAATTTTTGGCGATACCCATCCCTATTATATATCGAGGTTTCCATTCTTGAAATTCTAATTGATGTTTAAGGAGGGGAAAATACAGGTCTAACCTTTATCTTAGTGACAATTGAAGTTGGTCATTGTCATAAAAGATCTAGATCAACTTTGCGTATTTCAACGCATTTAGCAGCCTCTCTGACTATGGGACTATAAGAGGGTCCGTTCTTATGGGAACTGTAAACGCCTTTGGTTTATCAGTGCTGATGTTGAACCGTAAATGAATAATTGAAAAGAGTCGTACTTCGATTTGTACAATTAGGGGAATTGTGTTTTTCTTCTGGTTGTAAAATCTCGATCCTGTCTGGGCCGTGGGGACTGGGAATCAATGATGGAATGATAAGTGCGCATCATAGGGGTCCGAGCTAGAGGCGTTACCTCAGGCAATCCCTCTTGTATTTTGTAAATGGCGATCACTCGTAGAGTCACGCCACGGATTATGTTTGGCAAACTGACAAACAATGTTTGAGTGAACAATATCGTCTATCCTTGCAAATTAATCGCCGAGATCCTAGCTTACATCATCCAATGAAATATAATGTCTCTTGTTAAACTCTTCTTACAAGACGTTATTCAATATGTGTAGTTACAATCATTATTCCTGCACATTGCTTTGCAACGCTAAACTTAATCAAAGACGTCTAATTAAGAAAATAAGAGTACTGTTTCACCTTATTATCGGCTTTTTCATGCGCTTTGAAGTTTATTAATGACCATTAATGAATGGTAAGAAACCGAAACTGACTTCGATATGTACTTCGCATGTATTTTTCTCATGCCATATGTAGTCCAGTTTACAGCTATTTTATATACAACATATACTTTCAGTAGACTGGATTTTATGTAGGTAGTCATGAGTGACATGCTTATGGTGTGTCGCAATGGACTTTTAAATGCTGGAATTGCAAATGTTCAACTGTACACAAATATAAGAAATAAGTGAAGTAAAATAACAAGCTGCTTCCAAATGAAACTTGATATCACTGCATTGTGCCCCTTCCGCGTAGGGACCACAAACTAACTTGGGGAGAACTGGAAAGAAATTCTCAAGATAGAGAGAAGTGGAGTAGTCTAGTCCTTGCCCTATGTGCCCACGGGCAAAGCAAGGACTAGGGAGGGGAGGAAAACCTGCGTACTTCGAGTCTGTTTAACTTGATTCTAGAAACAACACTGGATCCAAGTAATCCAAGGTCCTGATATTTATTACGAAATTAAGTTATTGAAATATTTATTTCATTATTGCGTTTATCAATTCACAAATAGGTAGTTATATGAGTAAATATAATTAATAATAATACATATTTTAAATATAAAACGATTTTCAATTTAGAAAAGGCGCAAAATGAGTCTTGCTGATTTTTTTTTAAATTAGTTCATCGGTCTCGAATTACATTCCCCGCTTACTGTTGTATTCATCCCACCAACATGTCTGATATAATCAATTCTAGTCTAGGTTATCACTCGCAAATATTTGTGCATGTAGCATTTATGCACCTACAGCATGGTTGTGCATTTTTAAAAAGACATCGCCAAGATTTATCCTAAGGTCTGCATAAGATTGGTATATTTTTTTAATTTATCACAGGCTGCAATAACAATCACATATATCACTTGTATCAGGAAACGTCCTTATGATGAGCTCTTGAACTGAGCAGGAAGTATTTCGATTCAAGGACTTTTGACTTATGACTAAAAACACTGACTTTGAGTCAATGAACAACAAAGAAGATCCTAGGAACACATTGATCTACTGGTTCCAGTAACATGTATATTGTACTATATATCGCTAACCTACGGTACCTACAGTTAACAACCACGTTACAATGAGTATCGCTTATTCACGGTTTACAGTCATGTTACACTGAGTATCGCTGACGCATGGAACACTATATATTGCTGACCTATGATTTACTATCACGTTACACTGAATATCGCTGACCTATGGTTTACAGTCATGTTACATCGTATACCGGTTTACAGGCATTTAACACTGAATATCGCTGTCCGTTTACAGTCATGTTACATTGAATATTGCTAACATACAGTTTACAGTTACGTTACACTGTATATCGCTGACCTTCGGTTTACAGTCATGTTACACCGAGTATCGCTGACCTCAGTTTACAAGCATGTATTTCGCTGACTTAGGGTTTACGGTCACGTTACACTGTATATCGCTGACCGTTTACAGTGTTACGCTATATATCGCTGACCGGTTTACAGTCATATTACACTGTATATCGCTGACGTTCGGTGTACAGTCAGGTTACAATGTGTGACCTACGGTTTGACTCGGAGTATGTTCTATCACTTACAGGGGTGAATTGTAATCCATGCGCTGACAAATTACACGCATGGTCAGAAACCTCGAGCCATTCTGACACTGCGCTGAAGGCATCAAGATTCCCGATCTCAGAAGAAGACACTGAGCAATAACAAGTTACTTTAAACAGAAACCCGAAGAATGAGCTAGAGATGAATACAGTACAACTAAAAGAAAGCCCCCCCCCCCCCAATCAGTCATCAAGACAATAAACAAACTGGACATGATCTGATCAATCATCCTGAACAGTAAAAGTCAACCTTCATAGTAAAAAATATGAATCGAAGAACGCTGGACCAAGCCAGAAAATGTCATTAAAGGGTGGTCAATATTGGACGAACTGTTCTAAACTGGACGCTTAATATGAGTAATAGGGATGTAACTGATATATGAATCTTCAATTAAATCAGAATTTGATGAAAACACGTCTTCAACTTCAATGTCAGAAAAAAAGAAGCTCAATAATATCCTCACTAGGGGCTGGTTACGTAGTTGGAACTGATTTGATGTAAATAAGAAAACAGATTTTAGACTTAGAATAAGTTTACAGGATGTTAAAACTGATGTGAAATCTTGTAAAACCCTATATTAGGGCGATATTTCACAATTTATCACCGGAGGATTTAATCTGGTCCCTAGGCGGGATGACTCAGGGCTCAAAGAAATTAGTGTTTTTATTCCCAAATATCAATAGTTTCTTGGTCTAAAACTAATATTTGGTATTTGCCTTCCACGTGAATTGCCATGAGGGATGACACAATCCAATTTAAGTCATTGCTATATACTTCACAAAGATCATGGATTGGTTAAGTCCTTATTCGGGTATATTATAATGACCATACCGGATAATATTGACTTCTTGTCTATACAAGTAATCAAGGTCAATTATTAAAACAACATAGAGTGTACGTATACACAAATAATATACATAATCATTGCTCAAATGTAATGGGGTAAAACTTCATGAAGTTTTATACAATGGGTAGAGAATGAAAGGCTGAAAATGAGAACTGGATCGTAAATTTTTCTCATATTACATGTTGTTTCTAAAATAATTGCTTGGAAAGCACCTTGCGTCAAAAATAGTTTCCTCTATTTTTAGATCTGATGAAACTTCTGAGGCCGCCATATTTGTATGCATTGCGTCAGCTAGTGTGTTATTCGCTGAGGGTGTATATAACAAAGGTGCTGGAAATGCAAATATCTGTCAGTGCAAAAGAATGAATCTCCTTGTACTTTATAATTTTACTCTATGGAAGCATAGAGAATAGTCTTTCTGTTGATACTGTATCCGGTTTGCATCCGTTTGCAAATGTTTCGAAAAAATATTTTTTTTCTTGCAGGAAATTTATGATAAGAGGTTTTGATAAAAATGACGTAGTCTCAGTGACCATGTTCATTCTGTTTAATATCAAACGCAAAGGATGTATTTTAGATATTCAGTGCGCGTTTCAGAAAGAGATAGTTCTAATGAGAATAGGTTCTAATAGTAGTACATCCTCAAACCAGAACCAAATCAAAACACCCAGCAACAGTCCAAGAACCCTGACCAAAAAATGAATTACAGTCACTGTCTCATGAAAACAAACTGAAGGCAGAACGCATCGCAGCTTTACAGTAAAAATTCAGTTGAATGTTGCATTTCATTTGGTATGAATCGTATCGTACATGTACGTATCATACAGTGCATATATAAGCTGGAATCCTCACTGCAGATTGGGACAATATCATAGCGGACCTGTTAGAAATCTTTAGAATACATGAACACATTGGGTCCGTAAAACTATATCATATCGTATCATAGTCGACCTGTTAGAAATGTTTGGAACACCTATCGTATTATAGTGGACCAGTAATATAGAGTATCCAACACAATGGGTCCTTGAGAAATAACCTATCGTATTGTTGTTTAACAAACATTTCACGAGCATTTGTCTCAGAGGTCTTTTTGTTTGTTTCATTTTAAATAAAACATGACTTAATTATGAATAAAGTAAAGAAAACAACAAAAAAGGGAAGAAAAGAAACAAGCATTTTTTTTAAAGACAAAATAAGTGACGTGCTGATGAGTACTGACCTACATCCTCTAGATCGTCGTGAATGTCCTCGTCCGACTCCGTCCCTGAGTCGTGGTCCTCATCGCCCTAAACAAGAAATAAATCGGTGACATCACTCAGAAGTTTTCGATTGCACGGGACTATAGCTTTACTATTTCAGTTTAACGTAGTTTCTACTTAAATAATAAAGGAGGTGGGAGAAAGAGGTGGGTAGATTGCCCATTATCCGGCAAAAAAGAAAGCCAAAAAAAAAATCTGTTAACATCAGTGAATCTGTACAAATCACAATAACCTCGAAATAAGTGGCTGTAAATTGGTTAACGTATAATATTGAAGGTAAACTATTATTAATTTTTTTTGCATTTGAAACCTATTAAGAATCCCACATTTTAATCATATATGCTTTTGCAAAAGATTTTTTCCGCAGAGAAGTTTGTCATAAATTCATAACTTTAATTCATTGGAAAGCACGTTACTTAAAAAAATCTATTGGTAATTCGTATTTTGAAAATGACTGTTATACTTTTGAAGCTATAGGTATTTTGCAGTTCTTGTTCATCCATCTTTCGGGCAGTTTCATTCCAACATTGTTTGATGGATTCATGGTTAGGTATAGTAATTTATGCTTATCACGCGTTTGTTATTGTTAAACTTCTGTGAGACGACAGGGGTCTTGCCTGCATGCAGGGCTCAGTCCATGATATCATTCAATAGACAGGCCTACAGGGTCTTGCCTGAATGCAGGGCTCAGTCCATTATATCATTCAATGGCTGGCCTACAGCTGGCGGGGCAGAAGCATCAGATGCACCTATATGCTGAGTAGCAGAGTCTTTGTTATTGAGAACAAAGGGGGATGGGGCAGCATTAAGAACCAAAGGCCACATTTTCTGATAAAGTGCTTATGAAAAAACCCCCAACCAAACAAACATTGCTTTCACACCCAACCACCTATTTGAATAGAAGTGCACATCATGGATTTTTGAAAACGATTCACAGTGCAAGAATTCCCTAGTATTTTGATAAAGCTAAAGATTTGGTACAAACTTTATGCTTAATTGTCTATATAACTAAATACTCCTAGTAAATATACACATATTCGTACATGTATTTATTTTTACTATAGTCTATCGTATGCTAAGGGAAATTATTTTGTCAGAGAGAGAGAGAGAGAGAGAGAGAGAGAGAGAGAGAGAGAGAGAGAGAGAGAGAGAGAGAGAGAGAGAGCATAATCTACTAGACAATGTGGCTTCAGTACATGTGGATTATTTTAGAAAGATTTGAATTTTCAAAAGGCGAACTTATTTGGAGCCTTTGTAACACCTTGTCATTAACTTCATCTTAGAAGAATCCTTAAAAATCGTTATTCTGAATTTAACACAGACATTGAACGGCATTAATGAAAAATATTTGACACATGTAGATAATTTTCTCCGGATAAGTCTCGATGATGTTCCTAAACAACTAGATGTATTTATACTGAAGCGATGCTAAAGTTGAAATGTTTATTAGTCATGTGTATTATTTTTCATTAGTATATTTCGTATATTTGTATCCTATATATCTTAGGTAAAATGCAAAATTACAATTTTCTCTTCTGCTAAATGTAATTGTTTATCTGAGGAACCACTAAGGTACATAAAATTGAAACTAAATAAAAAAAGGAAGTTCGAACAAATGAATTTTTTTTAAAAATGACAATTTTTTTAACTTTAGAAACTATAGAACATTGAATTTTTGCACATTAAGTTATAACCTTTATTTGGTCACTGATAGGCTGAGGAACAAAGAAGAATTGAGCCTCACCTTATTTTGAAAAGGCTGAATTTCATTTAAAGTCTGAGATCTGAATTTCTGCGTAAGGTACTTGAGCATGTCGGTTCCCTGGGCTGTCATTAAACATGGAGACACTATCCGGGCCCCACCGGCTCGTCAAACCTCCAACACTGGCGAACTGCCAAAATATAACCCTTGTCAGCATTAGAAGAAAACTATATATCAAACTCGAATTATACACTCAAACACACTAGTTGTTTTCCATTGTAATGCATCTTCGTTCACATTCACAACTGTTCCGTTTGTTGTCGATTTTAAAATCTTGCGATTTATGCACAAAATACTAATAATTTTCTCGTACTACTGTTGTAAATGAAATGTCAGTGTTTATCAATCACCAGGCGATTCCAAGATGTAGGGGTGTCTGATTAACAAAAATCTAGGTCAACTTGCCGGATTCTCGAATAACTTACAGAATTTTATGATCTTGGTGATTAATTTTATTATCTTCCTTTTGTGAATAATTATTCATTGTTTTATTTTATTATTAATCTGAAACATAAACTCTGGATCAGCTCAAATCATGCTGAATAACCGACGTCGCAGCCTTTCTTAGACTCTACCAAATTCTGATTGGTTTGCAATAAACTCGCCCAGTATAGCACATGGCATATAGTAGACCTATTTATTTTTCTGGCGCATCGCCAACATTTCTGAGCATATTCGATAAACATCTGGTTACAAATAATTACATGCTCAAATGTTAAATTTACACATAAAATGTAAAAACGATTGACACGATGTGTTATGAACACAGACCACTGCCAGAATGAGATCGGAGAGTGCAACATTACGTCATTTGGGAAACAAAGGAGGATGCGCCCTGTGTCTGCAATATGATTGGACTATGCTATAATAGTAGTGATATTTTTGCCGCTTTGGCCACCAGCCAACATAAATATCAGAGAGAGAGAGAGAGAGAGAGAGAGAGAGAGAGAGAGAGAGAGAACTGGTGCACAAAATAATGGACTAATGAATATTCATTATCCACTATTTTCCTTACCTCGATCAGGACAAACATATGTACAAATTTTGGTGCAATAAAAGACATTTGTTGAAATAAAATAGTATACTCGATTCTCATTATATCGCGGATTTCATTGTATCGCGGTATATATGCAAAAAAAAAAAAAAAAAAAAAAAAAAAAAAAAAAAAAAAAAAATATGGATACATAGCCTATATTTTTTTTGTTGATGGACAATGTGTATTTTGTCTGAATGTTTACTTTTTTTTTTTTATAATTAAATAGTATGGAACATCCGTTTGAAAAGAAATATTCAAATAAAACGTAATTTTATAGATTTCCAGTCCCGTTTTTATTATATTTAGACCATTAAAGTTATAAGCTATTGAAATAATAATCGCGAGCGCAGCGAGCGTCGCGAAGCGACGCTCGTAACTGCGAGCTCTAACGACAACGCCTGGGCGATGAGAAAATTCGGACTACTGCACATTCATTCTTTAGAATTTTTTGCCGCAGTAATTTTGACCCACAATGCATCACTTAACAAAGTTGCGTTCTCGCGAGAATGACGGCAAATGTTCAACAAAAAGTTTACTCACCTTGATTAAATGGATACATATTGAAGATAAATTGTAAACGTAACTTTTTTCATTAACTTTCAGCACTGTTCAGTTTTTTTTCTTGGTATTTGTAACTTACATAGGACGTCATGTGACGTCAAAGTCTAGACGCATCAAATGTCACGTGCTGTTTGACGAGCCCGGTCTAAATTAAAACAGTAGAAGAGTTTGCGCTCGCTCTAACGGTCGCACCGTCAACATATTAAAGTTCATTTTTTGAAGAGTGTTAATTTGTACTATTGATTGTTTTTCATGTCGAATTACATCGTAAATTTAAATTCAAAATAAAATTTGACGCCCATGTCAGCTAGAAGCATCCATGTTTTCGCATACCGCGATACAATGAGACTCTCCAACTTAGGAGGTAAATGATAATTTGACACTAAAAATTTAGGCTAAAGTAAGAATTATTAATATCATTTGATGTAAGTTAAATTGAAAATGTGAAATTATATTTTTTTTATACAAAAGAATTAAGTACCGCGATATAATGAGACACCAGCTAGATGAGCTAGTGTACATGTTTTAATTTTTTGTCGTGTTGTCAATAATAAAATAAAAAGAACCCTCACCTTGGAATTTGCAGAGTTATTAAATGTGTATACTTAACTAAATCAACTAAAATTGACCTTGGAAAACTTGGAAACCCCCTACCCCCCCCCCCCCCTCGGGAAAGATAGGCTTACAAATGATTCATGGATCCGCGCCTGATCATCATTTTCAAAAAAGAACATCAAACATCCAAGTAAGTAAATAATCTTTTTCTCTCTCAGTAGATAAATAATATAGTGGTCACTCAAATATCGGCAATTCATTATAACTTTTGGTGAAACATAACGTTTTGTTCTATTTGAAATCATTTTTTATTGAAACGAATCTTTTGAAAGTCAAAGAATCTAATATTGTTAACTTTTTGATGTTTTGAGAGTTTTTTCTCGAGTCGTGAGAATCAGATAATGCATAAATTTAATTTGGGGGAGTTGACCAAAATGCATTGAATGTAAATGTGTTATATATAACACTTCTGGTATTTACAATAAAACAGACTTTAGATTCTTTCCGGGACAGGCCAGGTTGGCTCTACTATTCTAAAATTATTTCTAACTAACCCATAGTTCCGTGTAGCCATCGCGCCTGCTGGCCTTGTCTAAACCTGCAAAATAATAAATTTTAAGGATATATGAAGCTGATAAAGGTTCGTTTGTGTATTTTATGTGCATGTAGTTTCATATTCAAAATTGATTTATATTTCTGTTTATCTTTCCTTTCATTATCTGTTTAACTGTTTCCAAAGTAGGCCATAGAAAACTTCAACTGTACGTTTGTTTACATTTATCTACTGTTGTGATTAGCTGTATCAGGTCATTGAAATCAGCTGCTCAATGTTTGGAAATATTAAGTAAGGATCATGTGAAATTGTTATGTAGTTGATAAATGGCTGCATTTGCAAGGCAACGGAACATCTTGTTAAACCGGAAGTTGATATTGTAACGATGCTGTGTTCAGATAGTTTACTGATGCCATGACAACTGTGCATGTGCTCCACACGCTGACCGAAAAATTACTAAGAATGCGCCGCTTCTGTTAAAAAAAATTTAAAACAAATGTACAAAGATAGGCATATACTTTATATATTAATGTTTTTTTTAAGAATGTTTAATGCAGTCTGATAAATCATCTCAAAATTTGACATTACATGCACCTAATGTCCCCCTTTTCAAAAACAGCTGTTTAGTATTTATAAATGAAGATAAATTTGATGTAGAATTAAATATCAGCATATGAAACTAAATTTCATTAATTTGTTTATTTAAAAATAATCGTGTAATATTGTAATTTAACCCTTAGTTTTTTAATCTATGAGGAATATATAAAATTCTTTTATTTGTATAGATTTGATAGGAAATGAGAAATTTCCAATGATTTTCATTTTAGTTGTTTTAGATTATTGACAATTTGTTTAAGAAATAGGTTACAGAATGTGTCATATATTATAAATATGATTTTATAAACACAAAATTTTGCTCTCTAGATTTGATGTAAAGTGTGATAACATTACAATTTATTCTATGAAGTATCTTTTAGTATTAAGGTATCAATTTGTAGGTTGAAGATGATGGGGTAATCCTCCTGGAAATAGGATTATTGTCTTGAGACAGTGAAAGTTGTGGAGGAATGGCTACAAAACCAGGTGATTCGGATGCTGGGTCCATGACTCCGTCGGAGCCGAGCGACGGGGATGACCGCAGTGACCGGGACTCCGATTATGAGAGTGATGAAGAGGATGAGTAAGTTCTATTTTACAAATTTTTCTAGTATTTCCCATAGTACATACATCCTTTAGAATATATATAACCTTCAAATAACCTCAGTTTTTATATGTATACATATAATTACTCTACCAGTCTTGCATGGATGATGTTTCTTCGGATTCACACTACCAGATTTGTTTTAGATACTGGATTTAATTTAGGTTTTTCAAATGAGTTTCCAAGATTTTGGAGTTTGTTTTGATGCTGGATTTGTTCTGATGTTCCATATGAATGACATTTTATAAAACTTTTCAATATCTATGTCAAAATAACTGATTGCCTCCTTTAACAAACTTGCTAAGAAGGATTCACTATACCCAACCAGATTTGTATATATCCAAGTAGTAAAACGGTAAATCTACTCAGACCAAACTTCTATGGAATGTTGTAAGGTTGCAAGTTACCAAGACCTGATGTTTGGTTTTGCCTTTCTGAAGAACTTTGTAATTTTTTTTTTTGATTCAATGACTACATAATATGTAAAATTTGTGGAAATGATTGTAAATAATCTATAGCTAACTTGATCAAATAATAAAGTAACTAATCTTCCTTCCTTTACATCTAACCAATATTTATGTTTAATCAATTTTCATTTATGATGGTTAGATAGAAGACAAATATTTACAGAATATACAAAGGAGGTGTTCATAAAAAAATCCAGAATTATTCATTAGAAATAAATTAATTGCACAAACATTGATTTATGATTGCACCATCTGTTACATGAAACTACTGCAAATTAAAACTGAGAATCCCTTTGGGCTAGGCTCTGATTATGATAATTTAAAAAGGACATTTTCTGGCAAATAACTTGACAGACCATGTGTGAAAATTGAAGTTAAGTGAAAGTCTAGAACTTGGTACGTGCTGGAGAATTGATTTTAGGAATGTTCTCTAATCTTAACTCAAATACTGCCATTAATCATGGCAACATCATGAACTGATCATTTGACAAAAAACACCTTGATAGGGGAGTAGGTGAACAAGAAAACATGACAGAAGATTCATGTACCATCTCCAGAATAAAGATAAAGATGTTTTAATACGCAGGTCCCCCAAGGCATCTAAAAGGTAATACCTATAGTGCTGCAGATCTATCATCTACTGTGTGTGGCGGTCTGTAGAGTAGATACCCTAGACATGTAGTGATAGAAGTCTTTAATCATTGGTAAATTTGTATTGATCTGCAAGACTGCCACTTTCTAGACATAACTTGGAAACAAAGGAATGAAAACTATTTTTAGATATTTTGTTGTCTACTGCACACACATGTAAATTGTAATGTAATATTGCTTACACTTAGAAATTCTGCATCAGCAAATAATGATTGCTGGTTATATTCACTGTGTATATAAATGATATGACTTTAATAGGGGGACATTTGTTATTGTGTACATGACACAATGTAAATCAGTGATGCATGGACAGGTGCAAACAGAAACTAATTTACATCACACATTTACATTCATTTGATCTTACCTTGGGATTGTTTATTTGTAATTTAATACATGCTAAACAAGATAAATTGCCAAATATTTACATTTTTATTGTACAGAAAGCTCCATAAATTACCATCTCACTTCACATTAAAAATTGTCAATTCTGCATTTCTGTGCCATAGTTTAGCAGTACAGCATTACATTTGCTATTTGGTTAAGTATCTCTATGTGGCAAATTGTCAGAGAGCCCTGTGTCCCCATCTCTAGACAGAATTTTATTCAAAATTCAATGGTAAAAAATAGTATGTGTGTGTACTATAAAAATCAAAACCATAGTCTTCCATATTGTGACTCCTGTGATACTGAAAAATGGAGGCTTTGATGCCAGGCTTTATGTCTCTGCACATACACCTCTTTATAATAAAGATATCCTGATTTAAATATGTCATAAATCAATGCATTATCTCCTTTACACAAAAACCATCTATAAGAATTATTTTTGTTTCAGAGAAGTGATATATAGGTATCTTGATTTCACTTTTCTTGCCAGAGATCTTTGATAGTTTGCATCTGTTATGAGTTGATTGTTACTTGTACAGTAGAACTTTGATATCTCAAACACCACTATGTCAAATACCAAAGAAGTGATATATAGGTTTTCTTGCCAGAGTTATATGATAGTTTGCATTTGATATTAGTTGATTGTTACTTGTACAGTAGAACTTTGATATCTCAAACACCACTATGTCAAATACCAAGGATTTATCTATGTAAGTCTATGGACCTCCCATTAATGTTAAGTTTCAGCTTCATCATTCTCTAGGATCATTAGTTATCAAGATTAGCTTAGTAATCCGGATTTCAAGATATCACATTTTTTTTTTTGGTTTTTGTATTTATAATAGGTTTCTTGTACTTGTAGTAATACTGAGTTTGAGATTCTAAGCTGGTTTTCATTTATTCATAGATATTTTTGGCATTCTAAGGTATCCTTTTACTTGTTATTTGTAGTTGCATTTCTTTTGCTTGTAATTATATAATACTGAAGTTAAGATATATTAAGTTTTATTTTTGCTGGTTGTTTCATCCTCTTGTGAATTTTTCATTTAGTCAATGAGGATGCCACATTTGGTGGTGGAGAGCTGCAAATTTTGTCCAATACTCGACACTTACTGCCTTTGAGCAATGATGGATCTTTTTTATGCCAGCACAAACAGCTCTCAGTTTTCATGGTCTCACCTGAAGGACTGATATTGAGGTTTTGCTATATTAGTTATTTTCTTAAAGTTTGAGATATTGAGGTTTTGCTGTATTAGTTATTTTCTTAAAGTTTGAGATATTGAGGTTTTGCTGTATTAGTTATTTTCTTAAAGTTTGAAATATTGAGGTTTTGCTGTATTTGTTCTTCTCTTTAAGTTTGTGATACTGAGGTTTTCCTGTATTTATTCTTTTCTTTAAGTTTAAGATATTGAGGATCTCCTGTATTTGTTCTTTTCTTTAAGTTCGAGATATTGAGGTTTTCCTGTACTTGTTCTTTTTTTAAGTTTGAGATATTGAGGTTTTTCTATATTTGTTCGTTTCTTAAAGATTGAGATATTGAGGTTTTCCTATATTTGTTCTTTTCTTTAAGTTTGAGATATTGAGGTTTTCCTATATTTGTTCTTCTCTTTAAGTTTGAGATATTTTGGTTTTCCTGTATTAGTTCTGTTCATTAAGTTTGAGATATATTGAGGTTTTCTTTTATTTGTTCGTTTCTTAAAGATTGTGATATTGAGGTTTTCCTGTATTTGTCCTTTTTTTTAAGTTTGAGATACTGAGGTTTTCCTATATTTGTTCTTCTCTTTAAGTATGAGATATTTTGGTTTTCCTGTATTTGTTCTGTTCATTAATTTGAGATATTGAGGTTTTCCTATATTTGTTCTTTTGTTTAAGTTTGAGATAGTAAGGTTTTTATATATTTGTCTTCTCTTTAAGTTTGAGATATTTTGGTTTTCCTGTATTTGTTCTGTTCATTAAGTTTGAGATAATGAGGTTTTCCTGTAATTGTTCTTTTCTTTAAGTTTGAGATATTGAGGTTTTGCTGTATTTGTTCTTCTCTTTAAGTTTGAGATATTCTGGTTTTCCTATATTTGGTCTGTTCTTTAAGTTTGAGATATTGAGGTTTTCCTGTAATTGTTCTTTTCTTTAAGTTTTAGATATTGAGGTTTTCCTTTATTTGTTCTTTTCTCTAAGTTTGAAATACTGAGGTTTTCCTTTATTTGTTATTTTTAAGATATTAAGGTTTTCCTGTATTTGTAGTTAAGATTGAGATTAAGGATTTTTTTATTTGTATTTTTCGTATTGGTGTTTTTTTTTTTTTTGATGTTGTAAGTTGCTTTTTTGTTTTTGAAGTTAAGATTGAGATATTGAAGTTTTCCTATTTTTTTTTGAGATATTGAGGTTTTCCTGTATTTGTTTTTATATGAAACCCTTCACTTGCTCCACATGGCTTGAATTACCTAATGATGATCACATGTTTAAGACTTTCAACAGTAACAGAGTCACAGGCACTATCATTACTGATTACAAATTATTTATTACCTCATTATGAATTCAAAGTATGAAATCAATTTTGTTTTGATAAAGTATAAATATGTGTGCAATAAGATGAGACATATTAAAGCCATCTAAAACGTCTAAAGAAAGTACATGTACTTGACAAAAGCTTTGATTTTTTTTGGTTTTGTTTTTGTTTGTTAAGCAAAATTTTTCATTTCATATATATTTTTTCCTCATTAGGCAAAGTGAGAAACTGAACATACAATGGACCGGATATGCCAGAAGAACACCTGTAATACTGTTCTGTCCAGATGCCATGCTGGCTAAGAAGAGTCCCAAAAAGACAGTGGGAGGTAGGGGAACATTTATAACTGTGTGGGAGGTAGGGGACATTTATAACTGTGTGGGAGGTAGGGGAACATTTATAAGTGTGTGGGAGGTAGGGGAAATATTTATAACTGTGTGGGAGGTAGTGGAACATTTATAAGTGTGTGGGAGGTGGGGGAACATGTATAACTGTGTGGGAGGTAGAGGGAATATTTATAATTGTGTGGGAGGTAGGGGAACATGTATAACTGTGTGGGAGGTAGGGGACATTTATAACTGTGTGGGAGGTAGGGGAAATATTTATACCTATGTGGGAGGTAGGGGAATATTTATAACTGTGAGGGAGTATTGGAACATTTATAACTGTGTAGGAGGTAGGGGAACATTTATAACTGTTTGGGAGGTAGGGGATATTTATAACTGTGTGGGAGGTAAGGGTATGGGAGGTAGGGGAAATATTTATAACTGTGTGGGAGGTAGGGGGACATTTATAACTGTGTGGGAGGTAGGGGAACATTTATAACTGTGTGGGAGGTAGGGGAAATATTTATAACTGTGTGGGAGGTAGGGGAACATTTAAAATTGTGTGGGAGGTAGGGGAACATTTATAACTGTGTGGGAGGTAGGGGAACATTTATAAGTGTGTGGAAGGTAGGGGAAATATTTATAACTGTGTGGGAGGTAGGGGAACATTTATAACTGTGTGAGAGGTAGGGGAACATTTATAACTGTGGGAGGTAGGGGAACATTTATAGCTGTGTGGGAGGTAGGGGAACATTTATAAGTGTGTGGGAGGTAGGGGAACATTTATAAGTGTGTGGGAGGTAGGGGAACATTTATAACTATGTGGGAAGTAGGGGAACATTTATAATTGTGTGGGAGGTAGGGGAACATTTATAAGTGTGTGGGAGGTAGGGGAACATTTATAACTGTGTGGGAGGTAGGGCCATCCTTAAAAAAATTTCTTTTTGCGGTAACGCGCCTCATCATTTTAGGTGTGGGTAGGTAGGTAGGCTTATTTTTTTTTTTTTTTTGGAGGTATAGAGGTATTAACTATGTCTTAGATTTCACTTTAAGGTACTAATCAAACAAGAAAATTAAGGCATTCTTAATGTGTGGGATCCAATCTTTAATTGTAACAATTCAAATATCAGAACACATCAGTTCTTTTTTTAAAAACGGCGTCTACAGGTGCAATGGGGACGTAAAAATGTCAATAAGATAAAATTAGAAAATGGATATGTAAAAAAAAAAAAAAATTTTTGAACCCATAAAAAAAATCCAGTAGGGTGGATTTTGGTGAGTCGGTCGCGTTACCGCAAAAAAACAATTTTTTAAGGATGGCCTAGGGGAACATTTATAACTTACAGTAGATAATCCTGTACTTCATGTCCAACATTACTACTCTCTGTTTGAGTACCAGTGTTGTAACTTCAGATCTATGTATGTACCATTGATCACTTACATGAAACAGTGCATTAACCAATAACCATGCAATAATTTCCCCCCTTTTGGCTCACTTCATCACCTTCCCAGTATCTTAATTTAGGTTAATTTTTTTGAAGCATGGAGGTTCATTGACTAAAGTTATTGAAAATTCATTCTCAGGTTATTTTTAGTTCACTTGAGCTAGAGGCTGAAGTGTCATATTCTTTCATATCCAACTTTTATTTCAACCAAACTGATCACAGATTAATTAAGCTTGGGAAAAGGAACAGGGCCATTAATATATATAGTCTTATTAATTTGCAAGCATCCTTATGTACTTCAAATTCAAGTTTGTTGAAATCATTGCCCCAGGAGTGGGGGGGGGGGCTCAAAGCCTTACTAATAGGAATCTGCAGCAAAGAAATAAATTTAAAGTTTTCTGCAGCAAAAAAAAAAAAAGAAAAAAAGAAAGAAAAGATCATCTCAAGAATAGCATGATTATTATTCAATTGTTTGATATTCAAGCATCCTAAGGTAGTGCAAATTCAAAGCTTTAAAAAGAAAAATTGTAGTGTTGGGCGGTTGGGTCCGATCCCAGTTGAAGATGATAATTTTTTGTGGGAATATACATGTTGTATAGGAATATTTATGGGATTTGAGGCAATTTTTTCACAGAATACATGTTGTAGATATGTACTTCTGTAAGGACAAGCTGACATTGTGAGGACTGTCTTCTCATTGATGTGATCTGCAGTCATCAGGTGATAGCTAGGTGCTAATAGCAACACATAATCAGGACAATGGTCAATTCCTCCTTGACTGCTGAATGTGGACATTTCATCAGATCAATAGTACACCAATAAGTTCCTATATTAACTGGATCTGCCAACACTGATAAGCACATAGTGTAGGTCTATATATCTCTCCATGGCTCATTGTTTGGAGTGGAACTTGATCCTAGGTACACAGTTTATTGTGGGCCTTGGGCTTACTTGGTCAGCTGAAGTACACAAACATTTCTTCTTATGTCCAGTATCAGGGACTGGCCGTTCTGATTATGTTAATCTATCCTCATGATAGTTGATACCCTCTCTCGAGCACCTGGTGTGTTTTGTTTCTACAAATATTACATACGACCTGATAATCTTATGAGATGAAATCTTAGACTTAAGCTCTTTATGTCTTCTAATTACACACAGAATAATTACAAAATATTGACTTTCTTCTCAACTTGACCACATCATGTTAGCACTACATCTATTTGATTGATTCAGGAACTCACAGGGCTCACAACACTTTTTTTTGCACATTAATTTGGAGGGGAGGGGATTTGGGGGTGTGTGTTACTTTTGGGAAAATTGAAGACATTTTGGGAAAACCATCACATTTTTATAAATGAAACATAAAATTTCGTTTATTATTGATCAGTGGGAAAATATTAAACCATTTAGCTGAGAAATGTATATATATTGCATATGGAACAGCTAGGGCCATTCAGTGACTCCTATTGCAGTCATTGGTGTAATACTTATAACTTATAACTTATAACTTAAAAAGTAATAAAAAAAGAAGCAGATTCATGTAACCGTTTATTTGAATGGCTGGGTTAACTTCAGTTCAGAGACCTCCCCTGATATTTATTTGTTACAATATTTACAAGTGCTTGGAGTAAAATGTACCGGCTTCTCTCTCATTCTGCTAAAAGCTTTCAGGCAGTATCATTCCCCATCACTTCTGATTGACACTCCATACTGATATAAATTGCATGTCAGACCATTTTTTGTGAAGTTGATGGTGGCAGTTTTCCATTCCCTAGAATAAGAGTTTTTTAAAAACTCATTACTTTGTCAAGTAACTGGTTAATTTCAGCACATTGTCGGTGTATTTACGAGGGGATGTAATCACTCTCTGGAACAGTCCATCATTGATACCAATATTAAGATGTTTATCTCCATTATTAAGCAAGTGCTGGAAATGCTGACTACCGCCCTATAGGGCATATTAAAGTTTCCTTGCTCAGTTCTCATATCCAATTATTACTTAGTTAGAAGGCAGTACTGTGGTAACATGACCAAACCATACAATACTCAAGTGTTTTAATAACTATGTGAAGAACATGCTTGGATAAACAGAGAAGGTGGTAAAGAAACACGTTATATTACAAATTTTATACTGTTCATTTTCAGAGAGATATCACATGACCTACAAATTTGGAAGCTCGGAATGCAAGATTGTTCGGAATATCTTCAACTTCCATGGATTCCACGAGGTTTGACTTTGCATGATTCTTATAAAAACACAAACAAACAAACACAAACAAAACAAAAATACACAAGCACAAAAAAAACATAATCACAAGCTGTTGATATAATAAATAGTTAAACAAAGGTGAAAGTTGACATGACTTTCGATATAATGCAGTAAACAAACTACATGTAGAAATTGTATTAAAAGATGGAAGATTTTTGTGATAAAAATACTGACAACAGGAAAAGAAAACAATTGAATTCTGAATCACAGCAACATTAAGATCAAAAAGTGATACAAACACTTGTATAACTTTGAAAAGTAAAGAGTGCTGTGATCCCATTTTAGCAAAAAATAAAAGAAATTCATATATTAAATTGCTTGTAATTATTTTCTTAGGTACATCCCAACAGTTCAGATTATAACATCATTTGGACGGGAGGTCATCTTAAACCTTTCACTTTACGCAGTTTGACAGAGTTCCAGAAAGTCAATCATTTCCCCCGTTCCTACGAAATCACGAGGAAAGACAGACTCTTTAAAAACATCCAGAGAATGCAACAAATTAAGGTAGGTTTCCCGTTCCACTAATATATTATGACATTTGTGATGTCAGGTGGGTAACAGTTTAGAAATTTACAATCTTTTAAAATATTTCACAATTTTTAATGAGTTTCTTTTGAGTGTATACATACTTGCAGATATCAGAGCTGACAAGTAAAAACAATGACTTATTTTCATTCCCTAATATTTACCAGGTACTTGCAGGTAGACCTTCAAAAATACTCAGTAAACATGGTAAAACAGGCTTATAGCACAATGACAGGGACAAACAGCTTTAATTCATTAGAAATTTAATTTATTATTTCTGTTTAGGTCATAATATATTTTTTTTAAACCGAGGGAATTAAAATGGCCTTGCTTTTAGAGGAATTCATTTTAAGTGTGTTTGTTGTAACTTGTAGTCGTGTTATACTGTATAAAACAAAACAGATTTAGTGGAGTATGAAGTGTACTTTTCTTCTGTTTCCATTACACAGACATTGTAATAGTTAGCATTGCATGCTCTGAGGTACTTAAGGAGATTGACAGTCTGTAAAGTACGTTGATCAATAACGCGTTTTAATTAATTATGAGTAAGAGACATTATATATTGCTGCTCACCCACAAGTTAAAAGTGCAGAATGGAGAAAAAACACATACTGTCAAAAGCTGCATTTAGATTGTCAATTTGTAGAACAAACATAGACAATTATTCCACTTCAAACCAGATAGAATATTGATTGGCCAAAAACGGATCACATGACACCCTGAAATTTTCTAATATTCCTTTCCCAAACAGGAGGGAGGGGGGTATTAAAAATCAGGCAGGAGATTCTGATGGACATGTAAATAAGTGGTGGTAATCAAATAATCTGCTTGTACATATCTTTAACTGTGACATAATGTTCAGTGCTATTTTGAATTATATTTCTAGTTCACCTGATCTGAGGGCTAAAGTGAGCTTTTTCTGACCACATTTTTCTAGCATCCCTCTGTTTGGTGCTCGATCTGCATTAAATTGTCACTTTTTAAGCATCTATCACAGTTGCTCTTAGCCAATTTCAGCCAAACTTGTCACAAAGCTGAGTAATAAGCAATCAAGACGGTTTGAATAAAAAGCCAGGTTTCACTATGAGAAGAGATAATGATAAAAGGAGAACAAGTTCAATGCTTTATACGAGGGTTGATCCAAAAGTAATGTCACAACTTGGATAAAATTGCTATAAGTCGACGTAAAGCAACAAAATTACACATGAAAGCTTTATTTATTTCAAATCAGACCTGAAAAATTCAAAGGAATATGGTGTATACTTTTCAAAATATCGGATTTTAAATAATGTGCGTTTATGATAGTCGCCGCACCTAAATATTACCTCATATGACCAATACTTACCGTCATACTTTTAAGCGTTTACCCTTAGTTTCATTAAAAAATATTTATGATTCGCAAACACTTTCACCATTCCACTTTCTTTAAGAATTCTTGGTACAATTATACACTCACTCTTTTAATAATTTAGCCCTCTGTCAAAAATTTTTGAACAGTAGGGTGATATAAACTTAAAAATTCACATGTCACTCTAAACGTCTCTTTTGTCTTTTTTGCTGATAATTCAGTGACCAATCACTTGCCCTATTGCTGAACATTTTCTCTGATCTTCTTTATCTTTCGGTCTTAATGTTGCTTGTGAAGGTTCCTCTATTTTGAAGCAAAAATTTATTACAACTTCAGTTTTTTTCCCACCAATCCATTTGTTCTTCAACCAACAATGTTTAATTGCTGAAATTTTTATTAAATACTGTAAACCAACTTTTATTCGTGTGCGAGAAATTTTCCATCTATTATTTGTCTAAGATGTCTTAATCATTATTTACATTCTTTATTCTTTACAGTAATTTTTTAATAAAGACTGATTAATTAACTTAACTGTTGCTTGTGAAGGTTCCCATATTTTGAAGCAAAAATTTATAACTTACAATCAACTAGTCAACTAATATAACTATAACAACCTATAACAATTTATAACTACAATCCATTTAACAATTCAATTCAACAAAAGTAATAAACAACAATGTTTATGATAAAAAATACCAATCCCAATAACAATCAACTAATATAACTATAACAATCAACTAATATAACAATAACAATCAACTAATATAACAATAACAATCAACTAATGAGAGTTGTGTCTCTTAAAAAATTGGGAGATTAGGTGCTTATTTAGAATCTTTTTAATGTATTTGTCTTCTGCATTCTAAGAAAAAAATACACTTTAAAACGTGACGTTCCATTGTGACGCGATGACACCCCCAGTGCTCTATGATTTAAACATCTGTAAAATAAATTCAAATAAACATTATTAAATTAAATTTCAATGTAAATTAGATTTATTTTTGTGCATCTGTTGGTACATAGTATTTGATAATATGATACCAAATATAAAAGATATGGACACTACTTTTGGATCAACCCTTGTAACATCATAAAGGAACTACCAGGTATACTAAACAAAATACAGTTGTGTGCCAAAAGTGAAGATAATTTTATTTTTTCTTTATATATTTCATTGAAAACAATATTTTGTAAAATCGCTGGTATGACAGCATTTCTTGACAGATTTTATCAAAAATTTCTTGATAATCCAAGAAATTGTTGTAGTTGAAAAAAACAATAGTTTTTATCTGATAAGCATTGATAATTTAAAAATATTGTAATTTAAGTGTGACATGAATTTTTAAGTGATATACTCACAATGAATTATATAGTCAACATTGATCTTGAATTTTAGAACTGATGTTTAGTTATGAACTATATTTTACTACATATTAGACGTGTAATGATCTTTTAAAGAAAGATAACTACACATTTTCTGGTTTAAGTACTGAAATAAATAATTAAATTGGACAAAAATTGACCATTTACCTATGATTTAAAAAAATGTTGTTTTCAATGAAATATATAGAGAAAAAATAAAATTATCTTCACTTTTGGCATGCCACTGTACCAGGAAAAGTATGGCTGCTAAAGTTATAATTGTCAAATTGTTAGAAAATGTTAGAACTCTAAAGGGTTCTCCAAGATTTGCTGGGGTTGAGAAAAAACTTTCCTCAAAGATGACTGCTAGGGCCATGGGTCAGTTCTTGTCATCAGGATTTTTTATAACTGCTGAAGAAGTTGATAAAAAGAAGCAAAATTTTTTTTAATTTTTGGCAATGGTTCCTTTGTAGGGGTTTAAACACTTTGACATCATTCCCCAGAGCTTCATCTTACCCAGTGAATATCAAGACTTTTGTGGTAAGTATTCAGATTTAATGGTAAAATATTCAAAACTCAGATAAAAATTTGAAGGCTTGCACTGCTAAAAATGTCAAGAAAAATTGGTATGAGTTTGTCAGAGAGCATAATGAAGTGATAAAAACACAAGCAATAGAACCAGAGAAAGTGTTACAGAGAAAAGCAGAAAAAGACGTCAAATGATGACATAGATCATTTCACACTTCCTCATTCTGGAAGCTAGACAAAGAAAAAGAAATAGATTGTCATGCATCACCTTGTGAGGAGGATTAAAATTTCTGTAGATTAAGCTGACAGAGATCAGGTTAAGATTGGGTTATTTTTGTCAGATCACCGTAATATTGTGATGTCCCTGTAGATTTAGATCTCACATTAATGATGATTTTTTGTAGGAGAAGATAATGAGAAGTATGACATTGATTCTTCATGTCAACTTCTTCTTGTGTTTAGGAGTACAAAGCTTTTATATTGGCAGGGAGTTAAAAAAGTGCAAAGATTATTTATTTATGTAGATTTCCATTTAGGTTGTACTAGAAATTACTCTGGCTTTTGAAGACAGCTTATTTGGAAACAAATTTAATCAGACATCCCTTTATTAATGTTTTATGATCAAATTTCTACTATCATTTAGTCAGCTGGGAATTTCAATTCTTCCGGGTCTTCAACAATGTTTCATTTCAAAATTTTACTACTTTGTACTCTAAAACCTTTAAAGTGGAAATTAAAAAAAAAATGAGTGCAGAATTGAGGTTTATAAGCACTAAGAAACAGTATTATATTAAATTATTTTGATGTAATAGTAATTTTTGCAAGAGACCCTCAATTCTTGCAGTTGGAATCTACAGTTATTTAAAGAAACAGTCTAGCATCAATTATATATTGAGGCTTCAAACTATTAAATCTGTTAATGGTTTCTTTTTGTATATTGTCCAAATACAATTATGAGATCATTTGTCCAATACCAAGGGCCCTCCCCATGTTGTCAGACCGTCTTATTGGCAATAACTCCACAACATTAACAGTTCTTTCTCAGTTGTAGAGTAATCCCATTCTGATAATTTTTTCATTTGTTTCAGCGTCTTTTTTGAGGGAGAAGGGTCTGTGGATTGTTAAGCCTGTGGCCTCGTCTCGCGGGAGGGGCGTGTTCCTGTGTAACCATGTGAGTAGTTTTTAATGTCAATCGTATCGAATGGAAATGTTTGTACTGATATTTTCAGATTCTTACGATAGTTCTCAGTGAATTTTATTTCACTTTCGTTTGATCTGTGATATAAAATGTTTCTCTTGTAGCCCGATCAGGTGCCATTAGATGAGAACTTGATTGTGTCTAAATACGTATCCAACCCATTGTTGATAGACAGTAAGTAAAATTAGCTGGCAAAGCAGAGCTATTGGTATCATTAGTTAGTTAATAAATTATAAGATTTAGGGCATTAGCTGTCATATAAAAATAAGAAAATGAGCCACCTTTTTATCATCATCTCTTTTTTTGTTGGGAAGTGTAGCCTTTTAACATCAGTATCATGTTCTCAGATGTGTCTGCAGTATATGTGAACCCGAGAATGAGAATGTTAACTGTTATTTTTATGAGCCTTATGTATGAGTTTGAACAGGGGTCACATATAAGTTTATCTTGATCTATCTGTGTGCTGTATCTGTGTGATTAATATGCTTCCATAAATCAGCCATTTTCTAATTAATTATCAGTAAAAAATTTTGATTTCATGATAAAGTGAGAACTCTCATTGACACTGATATATAAATCAGGAATCAGAATCCAGTTTACAGGGTAATTTAAGACATTCTTTTATGTATTAAAAGAAACATGCACAAACTAGAAACTTAAAATGCATACATGTATATCAAAATTAATACTCTGTTCTATAAAGTAATACTTTGTATCCATACAATAACTTTTATTTCCATATCATAGGTTTTAAGTTTGACATCCGATTGTATGTGTGTGTTACGTCCTATGACCCTCTTTGTATCTACTTGTTTGAGGAAGGACTAACCAGGTAAGTTTGAGATTCGTTCATATGTATAAGTGACATACACATTGTATGACCCCCTCTGTCTCTAGTTTGAGATCCGATTGTATGTATGCGTGACATTGTATGACCCCCTCTGTTTCTACTTGTCTGAGGAGGGACTTACCAGGTAAATGATGTCAAATGATCTGTTTCCTTTGAGTCGGCATGTTTGTCAAAAGAATTTTTTCATGATGTCAATTCTTTGAAACTGGACTGCATGATAAAGAATTTTGTGAATATTTAAATATCCTTTGATAGATAAGCAACTGACTCTTTGTACATACTTAAAATAATGATTCACTGTCTTTGATGTCATATACAGGTTTGCTACTGTGAAATATGAGAAAAGCAATCGACACATCAGGAATCAATGTATGCATCTGACAAACTACAGTGTCAACAAGAAAAGTGACGACTACGTCAAGTAAGTCCCCACTAAAAGAAAAGTCAAACTGTAGAGTCCCCACTAAAAACACTGACAAACTACAGTGTTAACTATACTTCATTCCTAATTCTGCAGAGAGATAAATATAGGGGGAAAACTTTTGAAGAACAGAGGAGCCATAGTTACTCATGTGAGCATTGTAGCCCATGGGCCTCTTGTTTTTGAGTTTATATAGATAAATACATATGTATAAGCATCCAGATACTTTGTAGAGTTTGAAATCCTCCTCTCCTTATTTTATATACACAGTCCAAACCTGTAGCTAGCTGGCTGGTTATATGTACACAACACCATGATAACCACTACACAATAGTAAAATACAGAATCACTTAACCGTGTACTGGGTATGCAAGAAATTGTTTATATCAAAGTCTTTTACATATTAAAACCATACAGGAAGCATGCAACTTTTACTGCTTATGTAATGATTTACAGAGGCTGTTCTACTTGTCAATGGTAGATGTGCTAATGAAGTGTCTGGAACTGTGTGATCATTTAGTTTTTGCAAATTAAATCTACAATTGCTTTTAGCTGCAAACAAAATCAATAGATATGTTTCCGAGATCGACATAAATCTAAAAAAAAAATAATCACATGTACTTTTGTGTCCCATTTGATCTAATAAGATTTTATTCCCAGACTGTTAATGCTTCTGTACTAAGAATTATAATGTCACCCTTTCTTTGTGTGGTAGGAGATTTAGGTCACCTGAGTCACAAGGTGACATCTTGATATTGACTTCCTGTCCATCACGTACTGGGTGTCATTTGTAAACAGTTTTCTTCTTGCAAGTCCATTCATTACTTTCAAATGAAAAGCAGCTTTACTGTACAATGTACATGCAACATGTCAAATATGAAAATCTATAATTATATACATGTTAATCGTAAAGTTGGATCGCATTAACAGGCATTTCAACAATATATTCACCTCTTATATAGCCTTGCTGACTAAACTGGTTCTATATAACCAAGTCATATATATACCAGATATTCTAATAAAAACTACATGTAATTGAATTTGGAACAAGTAATTCATTATAATGATTTGTCCCTAAAATTTTCCTCGAACAAAAGAAGCATTTATCCCTTTTAAAAGGATTTGCTGCATAATTAAGGAAATTCAAACCCAAAAATTCTTTACTAACCCCTTTCCCAACAAACAACAATTGGTGAGAGCAGGAATAATTTTGCTGAAGATTTCCTTGGTGGATTATGCAGAGAGCAGCTCTGTCTTGTGAACATTGAACCTAACAGAAGTATTGTGTAAGAATCGGAGGAACTGACAGGTGCAGTGTAATAAGGATGAATTACAATAGGGTTACATCATCAGGGACCTGCATGCAGCCCAGATCAATAATGTAACGACAGCTCGTCCTATTGTCTGTAACAGCAGTCACCAAAATGTCATCAGATGTTACCATGACTTAACCAAATCACACAATTTCTTACCTAATCCAAATTAGTTCATTAAGGTTGCAGACTTTGGGATTTCCATTGGGCAATACTTTGAACAGTATATAGAAAAAAATGTGTTTTTATGCATGAAAAAAAATTTTAAAATTATTTATCCAATTTTTAGCATTCATGAATAACTATTTACTGTAAACCAACTTTTATTCACATGCGATAACTTTTCTCAAGGTTCACGAAAATCTCATCAAAGTGAATATTTCTCACCACAAAATGGTCCTTAGAGTCTCTGTGTCTAGTACAAACAGATCCAAAAGAAGGTTTGATTTCGAAAATTAATCATCACGAACTAGTTTATCCTTATGAAATCACGAAATAAAGTCATCACGAAGAAAAGTTGGTTTACAGTATTAGGTTTGATGAAATATAAAAACAAGAAATACTAAGATTTTTCTCATCTAAATTTCCTGAGATTATATAAATGTTCTATTTCCCAGGAAAGATGATCCTGATGGAACAGTAGGAATGATAGGTCAGTGGTTGTATTCTTATGTAAATGTTTTATTTTTCAGGAACGATGACCCTGATGTAGAGGATTATGGGAATAAATGGTCACTGGGTGCATTTTTACGCTACCTCAGGTCAAGGGGCAAGGACACAGCAGGTGAGTGATCGGCAGAAATATGAAGAAATAGTTATTTGTGGCAAACAAAATATCAAAACCATATTTATTTTTTTAAGTAGAGCATTTCCAAAGTCCAAAAAAATAAAGATTCTAGGATAAATCTTAGATGATATATTTTGAATAAAATATTGTCTAAAATATTAGTTTGTTTAATAACTACTTTATTATTTAAAGGAAAAATAGGAATAATCAATATATTAGGTACCACTTCTTGGTTTTTAATCACATGTATCTCCAGAGAAAAAAAATATCTTACCACTTGTTCATTCAGTCCCTTCATAAAAATAAGGTCTTGATATAAGCACATACAAGGAATATTTGACAGTTTTGGAACCATTAGCGGATCCAGGAATTTTTGTAACGGGGGGTTGAGTGAAAAGGCAGAGGGTCAGGTGGCTAATGAAAATTTCCCATTAGGTCTAAGGCAAGGTCCTTTTTGGGGGTCCAGAAGCTGACAAGTTCTTACAAATAAGAGATGTTTTTCCCTTGATTTTAGGATAATAGACATATAAATTTAAAATACAAAAATTTCAAATGGGGGGGGGGCACAAACTATTATGCTTCGTTTACTGTATACAGGGTTATTTTCGCCCCATGTTATTTTTGCCCTTTAATACTTGCAAACAATTTTGCCCCTTTTTAGCTCACCTCAACGAAGTTGGGGGAGCTTATGTAATACCCTCGGCGTCGGCGTCCACGTCGGCGTCGGCGTCCCAGGTTAAGGTTAAGTTTTTTGGAGCAGTTTTCTTTTTAAGTACTTCTATGTCCTATATTGATTAGACATGCATGGAAGATGGTTCTAGTGTGTTTCATTGTACCAGTCAAAGTTTCAGATGCTGCAATTTCAGCAAAGGAATGACCAGGTTAATGTTTTTGGAGCAGGTTAACATTTTTGGTGCAGTTTTTGGTGTAGGTTTCATTTCCAAGTAATTATAATCCCTATGTTGACCAAACTTGCATGGATGATACATCTAAGGATGCACACTACCGGGCTTGCTTCGGATGCTGAATCTGACCTACATTTTGCGGTTGAGTGAACAGGTTAAAGTTTTTGTTGCAGGTTTCATTTCCAAGAAACTATAAGCCCTACGTTGACCAAACTTGTATGGATGATACATCTAAGGATGCATACTACCGGGCTTGCTTCGGATGCTGAATCTGACCTACATTTTCCGGTTGAGTGAACAGGTTTAAGTTTTTGGTGCAGGTTTCATTTCCAAGTAACTATAAGCCCTATGTTGACCAAACTTGCATGGATGATACATCTAAGGATGGATACTACCGGGCTTGCTTCTGATGCTGAATCTGACCTACATTTTCTGGTTGAGTGAACAGGTTTAAGTTTTTGGTGCAGGTCTCATTTCCAAGTAACTATAAGCCCTATGTTGACCAAACTTGCATGGATGATACATCTAAGGATGGATACTACCGGGCTTGCTTCGGATGCTGAATCTGACCTACTTTTCTGGTTGAGTGAACAGGTTAAAGTTTTTGGTGTAGGTTTCATTTCCAAGTAACTATGAGACCTATGTTGACCAAATTTGCATGGATGATACATCTAAGGATGCATACTACCGGGCTTGCTTCGGATGCTGAATCTGACCTACATTTTGCGGTTGAGTGAACAGGTTAAAGTTTTCATCAAGAAATGAAAATTCTCAAATTTGCTTTAGATGCTGGATTTTGATTACATTTTCATGAAGAAGAACTAGTTTAAATTGTTTATGTAGGTCTATTTCAAAGTATCAGATCAAAATTGCTTAAATATTTTCATTTTTGGAATGTACATTTTTGTTGGTTGATTGTGTGACTTTGCCTTACTTAAAGACAACATTCGTTGAGGTGAGCTCTGTAATCTCTGATTACCTATGTTTACTTCCCCCTTTCATACTTTTGTTTAAGAAATTATACTGTATCCTTTGAATTCGCCCCGTTTTAAATTCTTCCAAATAAGGGTTGAGTGAAAAGGGCGAAAATAAAACGATAATGAAAATTTCCCTGTATACAGTATGTATTTGAGGAGAAGTTTCCTCAGTCCCGAAAAATTAATCAGTGTGAATTGATTTCAAAAAGACAAATCGCAAATGGAAGGTGATGCAAATAAAACTTGGTTTACAATATTTTAAAAGAATAAAGGCACAATATGAGAATACTGAATAGGAATTGTCATTGGTGTGAATTAGGAAAATAAAGAGTCTTGACACTTCCTTGTTTTCCTGTAGTACTGGAGTAAATCATTTTACCAACTAATACTAGGATGTTTCTTGAATAAATGGAAGCCTATTATTTATATAACCTTTGAAAATAAGTGAATGCTAAGTAAAATTGTAATGTGTTTTACTTTTAATGCCTATGATAATTTTGGAGTATTGAAGCCTAATTAAGGTTTTTTGTTCAACTCATTTATGATAATCTTTGACGAAGAATATATATATGAAAGGTTTTAATTTTTCCTGGCCTGAAATATGAAATGAACTTGGATAAAAGCATTAAATAAAGAGAAGTGTTCTTGTTTTGATGATTTAGACTTGATTTATTTGTAGCTGTGATGAGGAGATATAGATTTAAGTTTGTGATTTATTTGTAGCTCTGATGAGGAGGAGATATAGATTTAAGTTTGTGATTTATTTGTAGCTCTGATGAGGAGGAGATATAGATTTAAGTTTGTGATTTATTTGTAGCGCTGATGATGAGGATTGAGGACGTCATCATTAAGACCATCGTCTCTGTGGAGGTCCCGGTAGCCACTGCCTGTAAAATGTTTATGCCTTTCAGAGGAAACTGTTTTGGTATGTTTACAAGTACAGTAAAACATGTTTCTAATGAATCAATGATTAATGTAAATAAATCTTGCTGACTACCTCAATGATATACTTTAACTGTATACTGTTTCATATGGGGTTTGATGATATACTAATTTTTTTTTATCAGAAAAGAAAAACATTAGGCCTTCAAATGCAATTCTTAAATGTGTCAACTTGAAACTTTTTTTGACATGATATTTTCTTCCTTTTCAGAATTATATGGGTTTGATATTTTAGTGGATGATAACCTAAAACCGTGGGTGCTAGAAGTCAATTTATCCCCCTCCCTCGCATGGTAAGTGTTGAAGATGTGTCAGCAGAATAATTTTCTATGAAGATCATGTTAGCCCTCTGTTGAGAGATTGGGTGCAGTGTAGCAAGGATGATAACTCTCATTTAAATTATTTGTTAATTGATTTAATTTTTTTTTTATACCTGTAATACGCTTGAGTTTATGAACTTCGTATGTATGCATAGTTAGTTAGTTTGTTACCTGATTTTTTTGTAAACTGTTGTTTATCACTGAATAAATGAAATATTTTTTTTTTTATTTTTGCAGTGATTCCCCTTTAGACATGAAGATAAAAACCAATATGATGTGTGATGTGTTCAGCCTTACAGGTGTGTGTACTGGTTTGGAATGTTGTGAATTTTTACATTGTGTTATGGAGAATTATTATAGCAGAAAGTATCAGTAATACTTTAATTTTTATGAATTAAACAAAAAATATTTTGAAATATGCCTTACTTTATTAATAATAATATTAACTTGAATCGTGAAAGTTCAGTGCCATTGTAATTTGATTGTTGTAGGAGTTGTCTGTCATGATCCGATGATGAGAACTCTCCAACAGAGTCGACGTAATCAAGAAGTCACTGCCAAAATAGCCGCGCGTGCCAAGGTAAGGAGGTCGGGGGTAGATCCTCTCTTAGTGTCGGTCAGCACTATGTCTCTGTCTCTGTTATATATATGAGAACTTTCCTGGAGGTGGGGATTAGATGACAAGTAGTGAAACTCTCTCTTTGTCAGCTGACTTATTCTCTTACATATTTTAAATTTCATCTTATAAGAATAAGGGAAGTTAAAGAAAGAAAAGTATAATCTATATACTCCTGTATGTAAGTTAAAACTTTTGGAAATTTAGTTTCCTTGAGTGAGGATTAGTAGATTTTGGAGAAATGTGATCCGCATGCAATTTTTTTTTACAGATAATTCTTATCATAATGCATACTAGTATACTAAAAGCATGGCAAATAAGCTGGCTTAAATAACAATAATCATGGCTTTAGTATATGTTCTATACAAGTTAACATATATTTGATTATGTTAATTAGAAAGAGCGGACAATTCAAGAAAAGATTTCGGTGAGATATAATTTGTAATCCAGAATCTCTATGTAACAGAGCCTATGATATTTATAATATTTCCTTTTTCTTTTTTATTTTCTCACCTCTGTGAATTTTATTCTAGGTATATATCTATCTCCTGGGTCAATGTAACAATCTTTAGTACAGTAATACGTTAGAGTTTATAATCTTTAAATCTAACACAATATCAAAACTGCATGTGCCAAATAATACATTTTCTGTCTAATATATACAGTCATTTAATATATCATAATACCAGTAGTCCATTATTTGAAAAAAAAACTTTTTTACTATATAAACATATATAATGCAGATATTTGAAAGACCAAAACAGTCTGATTTTGAAGAGAGATACTCTCACCAGAGCATGTAGTGTTTGTCATGTCCATCTTCCATCTATCATCCATCTTTGCCTTTCGCACTGATAGATTTTCATCAAATTTTATACATCATAGTCAGAGCAATTCAACAAGGTCAAAATATTTGACATTGGTCTTCCAAATGACCTTGACCTTGTATCTTCCAATTTGTATTTGGTTCAGTTTCCTATAAATTTCCCAAGATATATATCAGACTTCTTACACAGACAATAAAGGATAGGACAATTTTGTGTAACATGTTTCATGTCCTATGGATATAGTCCTACTTTTGATAAAATTCATCTTTGATTAAACTTAAGGGGGTTTGCAAACAATCTAAATAAAATAACAGTATACTCTGGATACTGTAGGAAAGGCGTAGATGGAAACTTGAGGCCGAGAGACGTATGAACTCTGATGATGTCTCTATCCTTGATATGGTACACAGTTGTCATTTCAGACTTTGTCAGTAGTTATTGGGCTGTTTCCTTGGTCATGGGGGCTAATTCATTGGTGTTAGGGCTGTTTCCTTGGTTATGGGGGCTAATTCCTTGGTGTTAGGGCTGTTTCCTTGTCCATTTGGGATGTTTCCTTGAAAATTAGGGCTTTTCTTGATGTGTTTTATAGTAGTTTACAGTACACAACTAAGTGCTATTTGTTCACTACATATATGACACTACTGAAAATAAATCTTTCTTTTCTTTTGGGTGTATTTTTATTCTATTTTTATGTGGTTCTTTTTTTGCTTTATAATTGATATTGTTGAGGGCTATGGGTGCATTTTTTTCTGGTGGATGTTTTTTTTTTTAAAGCAAGATTCTTATAAAACAATTTCTATTCTTTATAGTAACACATTTTGTGTTCTATGTAGAAAAATAAATGTCAAAACATTTTAGTTGTATGTAATGTATGTCAAATGGTTAATTTGTAATCATGCATGAATGTATGAATGATCTAATCACTTTCTCTGAAAGCACAGTGTGATAGCAGTCGGAAATGGGAGGGACAAGTAGAGGGGGCAGTCTGATATTAAATGTACATCCTGAGAACTGGTAGGGGTTCAGTAGGGGGTGGAAAGACAACAAAAAGAATGAAGAAATCTATCTCAGCTCATCAACTGGGGATATAAGTTAAAGTTTGTCACCTATTGAAGTGACAGTCTGTGCTTTCAGGGACACTCTCTATCTGATACCAGTCATGTTACTTATGTCAAATCTCACTAAATTTATAAAAACCTTAATATTGACACTATATGCACCATGTTACTTTCATTTTGCCTGCACTGTATTTCCAGTCTGCTCGATATAGGCCCTCCTCTGCCTCCTCACTGGTAAGTGTCCTGACTTAACTCCCTGTGATTGACCCCCTGTAACAGAGTGGATTGGGTGGAACTGGATCTTTATTTATATATATATTAAAACAGATGCTTACTAGATTTACATAGCAGAAATATACCTAACATATGATGGTATACTAGGTTTTCATTTGTTGCTGTTTCAACTTTTTATATGAATCTCTTTTTGATAAATGACTGGGGTACTATGTATGGGGTACTATGTATTAATTATCAAAGGTTGTAATTTGCTTTGATTAATGCTTTGTTCATGAAAAACAAATTTAACGATAAAAGCTGAACACAATTCATGAAAAGAACTGCCATATTAGTTTTCCCAGCTTACCCTTCTTCAACCCCCTATTTAAGTTTTAGTTTTGTACTTTTTGATGTATTAGGCTTCATTGACATCACCAGAATAGACATCTCCATCATTGTCATTGTAATATATTTGGGTGTAACAAATATAACTTTCTGTATGCCTTTCTGTGGCAACCAAAATAAAAGCCAAATCTATTTGATATCAATTGCATACAAGTCATCTTTACAAAGTGAAGTTAATACAAATGCATGATCAATGAAATAAGACATTAACAGAAAAATAATATACCTTTACAACATGCAGCAGAGACAAATAAAGGGAAGCATAACTAATGTGAAGGGTTTAAATACCCAAAGGGTGATAGAGGAGATAGAAAAACTAATATGGTGAATGCCTATTTATGAGCTGTGTTAGCTTTATGGGAAATTTACACAAGGAAGCAAAAAAAAATAAAATTAAAAAAGAAAGAAAAAGAATTTATATTTCAAATTGACTGAGTTTTACTACCTGTACACACACAAAGTAAGGTTAGAGATGACAAATATTTGATAGTTCCGATGTAAGCTCTTAATTTTTATATAATTTACAAGTTGACTTATTTTCAAGGAAAAATTTGAAATATCAAGAGTAAGGAATATGATGTAATTTAGCAAAACACAGGAATTTAGAATTTTGTATCTCTGATCAAGGAGATTTCATATTTAGGTAAACAGATCACATACACTTTACTTTTATTCAAAAAGTCTCTCCTATTTATGAAAACTTAGTGGAGAGACATCCATGGGTTTTTGATCAGTCAACAAGCATTTGAATTAAACTACATAACAATCTGCTATAAAACATTAAAGTATGTTTGTATGTAATGGGACAAATTCAGGTAATATTTTAAAGTGTTACATGACAAATTAAAAGAGGTGCTGCTTCATTTTTTCTTCCTTTCTGTCTTTCTTTACCTGAGCTTAATTCTGAGATCCATAAACTGGACGGCATTGTGTTTTCATTCCCTTTGATTTTGTTGTGGCCTAAGAGTTTGTTTTTGTTTTGTTTATTTGTTTGCTTGTTTTCCTTTTGTTTGAAATATTTCTTTTTAATGGGCAACAATAGGCAATCAACAGAAATAATTCAAGTCTTCAGAGTATTAACAAAGATGGTGAATTTTGGAATTTTTGAAGAATTTTAAAAATCTGAAAATTTCAGGAATAGGTCAATAAAAATGATTGGCTCCATGAAGTTATTTTGTGTATAATTGTTATTTATAGAAACAGAGACCCCAGTCTGCTGGAAGTTCATCTGGAAGTCGACCAGGAAACCCCCAGCCCCGGGGCATGGCTGGTCTGAACAGCGAGGAAATCAAAATCCTACGACGAATCAAAGAGGAAGACCAGAGGAAGGGGGGCTGGGTCAGGATATTCCCCACCCCTGACTCCTGGGACCTGTACTCGTATGTTTTTACCTTGGTTTGAACTCTATGTTTATATCTATTTAAAGAAAACTGAATTTTATTCTTTATTTATAAAATTATCCGCAAGTAAAAAACTACCTTTTCCATAACAGAACACTTAAATTTCAGATATGTTGATACTGAAAATATTGAATGGACTAGTTGAAAATGTTTTAAAATGATACCTGCATGAATTTTGTAAAAGAATCAATGGAGATTGCGAATCAATGTCTGTCATTTACAAAATTTTGTGGGTCTGCAATCATTACACACAGGACTGGGAAACTTAATACTGAATTGAGGCTTTGTTTTTTTTTTTTTAGATCGTTTCTTCAGTTTTCAACTACTCACAATTTAATGGTTCACAGTCGACTCTATCCGGAAAGGTAAAACATTAGGGAAATAAAAATAATTCAATGATTTGACATACTACTCAGTTTTATGCCGTTCTGTGTGAAGGTAAGTATCAGTTACAGTGTGAGAATAAAACTGATATATTTGCCAAGAGTAACATGGCAAATGCTGGATAATAAAGAGTGATAGTTTAAATTTAAAACTTTTAAAAGAATGGATTCAACTTTTTGCAAATATCAGTTTAATATACTCAAGAAACTACTCCAATCACTAAATGTTCTTGATTCAAAATAACTGCAATGTTGATGCTGATCCAAGAAATGAAAATCATCATGTACGGTGAACTGTGTGACTTGATGTGAATTAAATCATTTTATTTTGTAGACATAAAGGTGGATCACAAGCTAAAAGTGCTGCCTCTACATCTGTAGGTCAAAGGGCAAAGTAAGTATAGCACTGTCAGGGTTCAAATGTCAAAGAGTCAAAAAGGGAGAAATGCTAATTTAGAGTCAAGATTAAGCTCAATACTAGTATAAAATAAAAGTAAATCAGAATCATGAACTTAACTGTATAATGAGGGATTTATTACTGTCGGTAAATTCTGAGGTAAAGTAAAGGGTACACAGAAGTTATCAGTACCTTGGAGAATCTTGATGAGAAGATGCTGTTAATTTCTGTGTTGTCCCTTAAGCTATACATAATGATACAGAATTTTGGAATGAACTTTGCTAATAATGTAGAGTCGATAAGAATAGAAAGGAAAATTTTAGATGCGTTTGGTTTTAACTATTTTGTAAGCAAAAAAAAATGTGTAACGGAGATCCATACCTTTATTTTTTTACACCCTAAATTTTTTGTATATCAGATTAAAGTGATAGAAAGGCTTGATTTCAGATAATTTGAGCACATACCCAAAGCCAGAAAGCCAATTTTCAAAATAGATTTTTTAAACTGACCTCCTCTAATGTTCATAAAATCTTAATAATGATCAATAAAAAGGCTTAATAAGAAAGAAGTACATACAACAGGATTTCTGTACAGCGAGTGTTTGTGGATCTCAGTCATTATCTGCTGTTTTCAGAATTAGTCCTACGTTCAGAACCAAGTGAGTAGATCACATCAGCTGTTGTTATAACGTGTAGTTGAGCTATTTCATTAGATCTATTTATAGACGGCCGTAGATCTCTCTGTTATATATATAACCTGTCTATTGTATATATTCAGGAACTCCAAAAATGCCAAACATGCCACGTAAGACAACATTCACATAGATTATTATATCTACATAAAATGCATGAGTCAAGGCTTTGTATTATATGTGCATTATATTATGTTGTTAAGATGTTGTTGAGTGATGAACAAGTAAGAGTCACTGTAGATTCCTTATTTTCTGCTCTTCAAAGACAAATCGCGAGAATAATAATTCGCAAATGGATGGTTGATCAAGAGATTTAACATATATATTGGATTTGGAATATAGGACTATATAGGAGTATAATAATTTAAGTTAGCAGTAATATCTAATAGAGAGTAATCAATAATAATATAACTAGTTAGTACATATTAATTCTCTGTTTGCAGTGCTATAAGTTCTGCTTCAATTCCAGACTGCTTTAGAAAGCTTCAATTTAAAAAATTATTTTAGGGTGCATAAGATATCGTGACTTTTACCAAGAACTAAAACTTTGTCATTTTAGGAGTGCATATGCATCCATTGGAGGAAATTCTAAGTCGGATCCAGAGGTATCAGTTTTAACATTTTCTAAAACAGTGCATCCAGTTCTAAAATCACGTTATTGAGTGTATTTGGACTTCATAGAACACTGCTCTGATGGGACTGGTGTTGTCTTGTTTCAGTTTGCTGAATGTTACGCCCAGGCCATTAACAGAACCCGACAGTACGAGAGGAAGTTAGGAACAGCGAGACGGGGACGAAGGAAAAACAAACGCAAACCTAAAGGTAAATAACATGGACCTTAACAAGACACACCTCTACATAAACACTATTATGAAAGAAATTAATATAGAAATTTCTTAAAAATTCAAATGTGAATTTCTTTTTAGTTCCTGGCAAAATTTAGGGTTGTAATATTCCCCTTTTGTCTATAATTCTTGTGCAACTTGTTCAAAACTTATTGAATACATTGAGGCCTAAACTTATATTTCATATTTTTTTGTATAGAGTGAGGCCTAAATTTATTTTATCTTATTCAGTGAGACCTTAACTTGTTCAAATCTTTTACAGCAAGGCCTTAACTTGTTCATATTTTATACAGTGAGGCCTTAACTTGTTCATATTTTATACAGTGAGACCTAAGCTTGTTCATATTTTATACAGTGATGCCTTAACTTGTCATATTTTATATAGTGAGGCTTTAACTTGTTCATATTTTATATAGTAAGGCTTTAACTTGTTCATATTTTATACAGTGAGACCTAAGCTTGTTCATATTTTATACAGTGATGCCTTAACTTGTTCATATTTTATACATTGAGGCCTTATTTTATACAGTGATGCCTTAACTTGTCATATTTTATATAGTGAGGCTTTAACTTGTTCATATTTTATACAGTGAGACCTAAGCTTGTTCAGGGTGTGGTTGAGGACAATGAGGAGGATGAGGAGAAGGCTGATGAATCAGAGGAGGAGAATGAGGATGAGGACACGAAGGCAGACTCCAGAAGCTCCTCCCCCGCCGAGGAGGAGAAAAACAAAGTGGAGGTAGAGGTGGATGTTGTGACGGATGGGGACGAAGTCCCTGCGGAAAAACCACCCACTGCACAGACCGATCTAGTAAGAATCCCCTTACACTAGCTTTACAGGGATACAAAATATAGTGTAGGTCCACCCGAATAAACCACCCACTGCACAGACTTATATAGTAAAAATCACCTTTAATACACAAGTTTTACAGAAAAATCACCCACTGCACAGACCAATCTAGTAAGAGTCACCTTACACAAGCTTTACAGAACTTAATGATACAAAGTATTGTGTAGGCCCCCCCCCCCCCCCCCCAAAAAACACAAAAAAAAACAAAACAAAAAACAACACACTGCACAAACTGATATAGTAAGAGTCACCTTACACAAACTGATATAGTAAGAATAACCTAACACTAGCTTTACAGAAAACCACCCACTGCACAGACCAATATAGTGAGAATCACCTTACACTAGCTTTACAGAATGTTAACTTAAAGTCAGTCAGCTGAAATTTTAGAACTGTTTACATGTATTTTACAGGCATAGCTTGTAAACAGCAGCAGAACACTAGCTTAGTAAAGTTTACAAGAGAACTGTGTGTATTGCATGTGTACTTATGCTGTCCCTCTTTTACTTTGATGTATTTGTCTTGTGTTATAAAAGTTGAACAATCAAGACAAAGTATTTTCATTTACCGGTAATAAAAGAACATAAACTTTTAAAAGATTCAATTAAATGAATTTGTATAATGTTTTAGTGTATGACTTTTCAGAAGCCATCAGCACAGGATAAACCTCCAAAACCCCAGAGAGTTCAGGTCAAACTACCCCTCCAAAAACCCCAGGAAAATCCCCCCGAGGAGAAGCCTGAAGTTCCCCCCAAACCCCCACCTCCCCCACCCGAACCTAAGTACAATGTGGTGGAGCTCTTACAGAAGGGCAGAACGCTCAGGTACAAGCATCATATTTAATCACATAAATTGTAATAATTCAATAGGTGTTTACTATAAATATTGATGGGTAGAAAATTTCACTTTTTCTTTCATTTTAAGTTATAGTGAGGAAAAACTTTTGTAAAGCATAATTTTTCTCTTTGATAATGATTGAAGTTTTGACGGATTAATTTTGGATGGATCTGTCTGATCTCTGACTATTATTACATTTACTAGCCAATTATATCAGTAATGCTAATTAATGTTTACCGGTACCATGTTTACATTTATCACTTAACCGGTATAAAAATGAAATTTAACCTGTTTTTAATAAGTTTGTTAAAATCCTCTTTTTTTTCCAGTAAGTGTCAGGCTAGAGGTGCTTTTGCGATGTATTTAGTTCGGGTTCAGCAGCGCTTGATATCTGAAGTAGGCCCTTCTAATCAGGATGACTCGGATGCTCTCAATGAACAAATGGTAAAGCAATTACTCTAATCTGTTAGAAAGACACATTAAAGTCAAAATTACATTAAATTTCTTGTAGAGTGAAATGGGAGAGAAATGACTTCATGTATATTCGTATTTTTCTGGCCTGTTGCAGGATTTGGTGCTGCGGTTCCTGAAGCGGGCGGCAGTCAATCTTCAGCAGCCGTTTAAGGTGGTGGTACCGAGCAGGAAGCTCCCCCTGACTGATCGACGGAGGATACTGGCTAAACAACTCGGGGATTTCGTCCATATCTACAATAAAGTAGGCCTTACTAGCTGTCTATGTTAGGGAGGAATTCGCCATTTATTAATGTCAGAATCTAACTGCACAAGTCTCATGGCACTTAATTACATTTTGAAATGTCTCTATTATGTACAATGAAACATAAGAATGTAGAGCCAATTGGTCTTATTATTGGGACTCGTCTTGTTTATATTTATATGATTTGTACATGATTTATTCCTACTCTCAGGAGACAGAGCAGGTGAACTTGAAGCGGCAGCAGGAGAGACAGCAGGGTAAGATAGCCGAGCTCCACCCCACCACAGCAGAGGCCGAGTCCCAGGGACTGTGTGAACACAAGTTTGACAAATTTGTCAATATTGCCAGGTACATGTAATCTAATGATTAGTTTGTACTAGATAGCATGAATGTTAAAAGATCAAGTGTGAGAGGAAAAAGATATTACCATTCATTAAATCTTAACTCATGAAACCTTTAATGCAAAATAATGTAGATTGTGCTTTATAAGGAGTTATTGATAAGATAGTATCCAATTAGATCTATTTGAAGATATAATCAAAGAACTTACCGATATCATATATGATGTATTTATTTGATTTGCAGTGAGGGAGAACTAGAGGAAGTACTAACAACCTATACCAAGATCAACAAGTCAGCAAGTATATTCCTAGGGGGCCACCCCAAGCATAACACTGCTGATGGTCAGTCCCGCCCCACGTCAACATTCCAGCACTCCAGACCCCCCTCAGCGGGTCCTTCCCGCCCCTCTAATGCCGCCCCCAGTCGACCCCCCATCTCTAGGCAGAGCTCCATACTACAGAACAGGCCAGGCTCTAGTAACCTGGGGAGGACCTCCAGCATGTCTGGCTCAGAGACCAATGTAGGCAAGAAAAAGGAGGTCGAGGGTACAATAGAGGCCACGCCTAAAACTCTTAACGGCTGGGAGGACACGCCAAAGTTTGGTATGTCATTTCAGTGTTTGCTTTTGTGTATATGTATACATAGCAGTAGGCTAGCTGATAGTTTCAGAGGTAACAATAGGACTCCAGCCACTTTAGGTTCATATATTAACAGTATTCATCCATTATACTTTGAAATGTTATTTTTTCTGTTTTATTAATAATTGAATTGATAAATATATAACTGTAGAATTTTATTGTGATCATAGAAATATCAATTAATTAATTTCTTTTTTAATTATCATACTTTTTTCAGTAGCCATACCTATCTGCTTATTATTATTTTCCCTAGCTTTGCTAAAAATCATATGATGTATTTTTAAAACATTGAAATGTTTGTTGTCTACACATATCTGGTCTTGTCTTCACCAAAATGAAAATGATTAGAAATACATGTTTACGCCTTCTTGTTGAGCATTAAACTGGTTCATTTGTTTTTTAATGTAGGAAAATATAAAAATTCTTAATAATCTTGGAAGACAACTAATGTAAGATAAATGTCCACTGAGCTTTGATCACTTATGTGAAGGACAACAAGCAATATCTGGCACGCCTAAACATTTCTCTTTAGCTAGTGACAGCAATGTAACCACCACCGCCACCACCACTAGAACCATCTCACAGACCGGCGAGCCACCACACTCACGTGTTTACCACACACCCTCTCAATCCTCATACGCTAACGCTGTACAGGTATACACACAGAAACTAACCTCCAACCGACCGCGATCTGCCACCTCAGCTGGGAACAGGACAGGTAATGTACACGGCAGAGACATTTATAACAAGCTTTTATTTATAATAGGTTCCCAAATTATTTATTCTGAGTCATCACATTTAGACTTAATTTTAGCAATTAAAACAAAGATTTATCTTGCCTTATATACATTTGTAACATAATTTAATGTTTCAAAGTGTTTTGCATAAATTCCTCATTCAATTTATAAAAAATGCAAATAACACTTATGGGAGAAAGTAGTATTCATCTGATTGGTTAAAAAATTATGCAAACATGAGGTCATTTGAAAGGTTGTGTCACGTTATTAACAATACTTGTCTTCTGTTGTATGAGCGATACATGAAGGGGCGTAACTCAAGCTCTCATCTTTAGGTTTACCCTGTATTTCATACAATAGGAAACTTGTACTCTAAATCTTACATGTAGTAAATTTAGCCCTTAGTATTTTACATTTTGAGTGAGTATGACAAGAAGACAGAATACTGATTGATGATTTATACATATTTGTTTTTCTGAATGTAATATTGTTTTTTGCTTATAACCTTGATGCTTCTAATTTTTATGATATTTAATCCTCCCTCCAGCTCCCCCTCCTAAACCCTCAGTGGACTCCTCTACAGGTAGGGACCAAGTGTTGTCTGGCCACTGTCTCTCTTCTCTCAAGCATCAGTTCTGTTTAGAAAAGAGCAGCTTACTGCTGCTTCTGGTGTATAAAGTAATCAAGCTTTAATGTTCAATGTCATGTTCTCTATGTATTTACTCTGCATTATGAAGAGCAGCACTTTACGGGAAGAACTTATGGTTGACATTATGATTTTAATATTAGAAAAATTATAAAGTGGAATAGTTCTTGAAATCATTCACTGTATTTCAAATTAGCGATATTATGGAAGTAATTTCAATAAAAAAATAACTTTATTTCAAAACAATGATGAAAATAAAGAGTTGTGTCGATATTAAATGAGACTTATGACAGAGTAATTTTTGACTGCCAATTTGGTGAGGGTAAAATGACTTGCTGGCTTTAAAATTAATGGCTTTTCTTGTGTAGGAGCTAAGCTTTATTCATGTTTTATCAGGTGGATCTATCGCTGTCTTGCTATCTAGTATTAAGAAAAACCATGAGGAAATACTCGAGAAATTGATTTTTGAAAATTTTGTACCAGATGAAAAAGAGACATTCTTAGATGTTTACTAAATTTTTTTTCATAATTGATGTGAATTCCCAATGTTTATTTGTTTATAGATGATTACACACACATACCTATACCTACAAAATATACACCGGGGGCAGGTAGGAATGTAAACAGAAATGTGTCATTTTATTTCTGGCTCCTGATTTTCATTTCTGGCAACTGATCCACTAGTTTTCAAACTTCAGTTTTGCTCTAAAATTCTTTGGGGCAGGTTTCTATTGTTTTCACACAGTTATTTTCTTGCAATGTACTGTATTTCTTTTTAGTGTTGTAAAATTATGTCTCACACTATTTTAAGTGAAGACTATGTGCACACCCTTAGCTGTTGTTATCTTCAGAACCTCCAACAATTAACCATTAATGACTTGGTCCTAGGGCAGTGATATTGTTAGTCATATAGAAGTAAAATGTATTTGTCTTATGATTTAATTGATTGTTTTCAGTGAATGTGTTTTGTATTTGATAGAATTGTAAGTGATTCTGCCTGCTATAGATATCTAATATGTGATTTTATTTACCTACAGGTGTGATAGCCAAGTCTTTCAGTCGGCCAATGTCAGCCATGAATCGTCCCTCCTCAGCTAATCCTTATGCCACTACTAATCCAACAGTGGGTAAGTAGATCTCGTCAAATTGAAATTAAAATATCATTTGTGTTAGTTCTTTCAGAGTATGAATAAGCATGTGGCCAGTGAGATATTGAATAGATCTTTAAGTATATGATGCCATGCTAAGTAGATGACTTTGTTGTTGACAGATTCTTACAACGACCAGGCTATACATGATGCTCTACAGAGGTTGGCACTCCGCCAGCAGGCTCTTCAGTACTCCGCCTATAACGGGACCAGCATGATAAACGACGAGTCACGAAGCTCCTCCTCCCAGCGAGTGGGACAGGGTGACGTGCCGCAGTACGGCAGTACCACCTCCCTAGTAGATACCACTTACACGGTCAGCAAACCCGGTAGTTATGACAAAATGGTTCCCCCATCTTCCGCGTATACCGGTGCTTCTGGGGACAGGGTGCAGACAAACACAGCAGTCTACCCAGAACAGACGAGAAGTGATAACTATTCCAGACCCCAGGACAGTGTCAAATATAACCCATCTAATGTGACCCCAGAGGACTTCAGAAACAGGCCACCCTCAGGTCAAGGTCGTAGAAGGGTGGAGGTCAAATCAGCTTCAGGATCAAGAAAACCTGTTCAATCAAATGTGAATCTACGAAGTGCCAATGCAACTTTTAATAGTTTTATAGAGGACTCAAATGGAACGACCTGGCAAAATGACCTTGCTCATGCTTATAACCAGGTCACGGGAGTGTTGCCTAGCAACTATCACACAGCTTCTCATTCTAGTAAACAGTTTCAGATAATGCAGCAGCAGGCTGCTCTAAAACAACAGAGTAAAGCAATGCTGGAGCAGAGTAAAGCTAAGCACCAGGCCATGATAGCTCAGGCCCACGCCGTGCAGAAACAGAAACAGGATCAGGATATTGAGAGTGCTCTACAGATGTACGCCCCCAAACCCCCCGTACAACCCCCCCACTCACGCAAACTCCCCAGCTCCCACAGGGTCCAAAGGTAAGCATAGCAACACATTCTTATTTTAGGGAATTCTATGATAAGGGATGCTAAAGCTATTGATAAGCGGAAGATGGTGCTTTTAGGGGGTTGAGATCAGTCAATTTGTTCCTGAATTTTGACATGCTTTAAAGTCTAGGGTTATTCTAAGCAATCTTGCATGTGTTTGGAATGTGTTTGCTTATATGATAGTTCAATACTGTTTTATGAATGATTGAATTTATATGCATTTAGTAGGTGCCACAGTGTGCCTTATTTCTATTAGATGTAAGTTAAACATTTGAAGACCTTATACCCATTTGTTACTCCTGATGTTGTGTTTTTGTATCCCCCCTCCCCCATTCCCTGAGTTTTAAAGTGTATTAACAAGACCTTGTGATTTTATTATAATTATCTTGTCAAACCCAAGCCTAACAACCCATTGTTGTAAAATGTATATCAGAACCGAAACTAGAGTTATCTTTCTTTAATTTTTGTTTTTAGCCCAGTCAAGATACTTTGAAGTTCCAAACTTAAATCAGCTTTGTGTAATGTACGAAAACAGATATCTTGTTTTTAGTACTGCTGGGTGTGGATGTTTAGCCGCTAGATATTTGTTTTACAAGCACGTCGCTATGACTAGTCATCTTCTCTTACTAATACTGAGGAAAAAAGGACTGCTCTGATGCACGGAAAAGGAAGCACTAATCTAATTAAAATTATAGGCAAATCAAATGAATTTTATGTACATACATGTACAAGAATACATACAGATGTATGTTACATTAAATTGACAATAGAAAAGCACCCCAAAAACAAAAATACAGCAATATGATCTAAAAAATCAGATGTTTTTATACAAATTTCAAACTTCTATTTACTTTTCATTATCATCACTTTTTGCATTTTGCCATTTTTTTTTTATGCACCTCCTGGTAATTAGAATGATTTTATTTCTCTGCAGTGCCTGTAGGTAATGGGTTTATAATAGAAGCACCCTTTCACAGTGTTTGATTTTGTATCACAGGTCTGCAGTCCCTGATGAATCTTTAAATTTCAATTTCTACAACAGCTTGCAGTTTGATCAACACACCGGGCGCACACGATCAGCTCAAGGTACACAACTCTGGCAGTCACCCACCTCTTACTAAAAACGTCACTTAAAATAGTCAAAATGTGGGTGAGCTTTTGTCACAGGATAACTAAACCAGTCCACCATTGGCAGATGCCAAAATCAACACAATTTTAGCACTAGACTAACTTCAGAATTATAAAACACAGTTAGTCTTCTAGAAACAGGACATTTCACCTGAATAAGACTGGCAGGATTTAAGATATATTTAAATAGTTTTACATACATAACAATTTCAGTTAGTGCTGAATTGCATTTCATCAAGAGGAAAAGAACTTTTCTGGAGATCTCAATCTAATCTTGATAGAACAAGGGCATTACACACTCCAAAGGATTTCACATTAACAAATGACTGAGCTTCAAAAACATTGTTTTTATTTTTAAAAAATGGCAAAGAAATATTAATTTTAAGATTGGAGAAAAGATGTTAAAAAAAAAAGACTGTAAAAGCTTAACAGATTTGCTAACCATAAACTAAATCCCTCTATTAAAATTTCAAACGCTTTGTAATTTACTAATACTTTATTTATATTGTTCTCTGACTCTTTTCTTTGATATCTTCGCTCCTTTACTTCAAGTTATTCTGATAAAATATAAATGTGAACTTAATTAGAATTAAAATAAATGGTGATTCTATTCAGTTAAGTATTTCAGTGACACACTTATATCAAGTGCATGGGATTGAGAGGCTTGCTTGACTCTGTTTGGCTTGGAGAAGAGTGTAGCTGCTTATTAGAAATTACATGCGATTTATAGCATGGTTTCATATACATATATAGCATGGAATCATATACAAAATAATAATGGAATTATTTATTAACGCATGAAATTTTTTGGAAAGATTTCTTTTAATAATATGTCCTATTTCTAGTGATTGTTCAATGACACGTTTTAACTGAGCTCCTGAATTTTACAGGGTACTGAAACTTCAACCTCTGGAACAGATGCTGGACCTGTACTTCCCTAAAATTAATGTTAAATAATTCACATAGAAGCTCGGCGATACAGTATCCTCAATACAACAGAGATAATGTTCCGTGTTAGGTTTGAGTGATGTGTAAAATCTCAGATTTAAGTGTTATATAAAATTTATCTACAGGTTTTACTGTGTAACATGTGTGAGTGATGGATGAAGATTCAATATTTATTAGCTCTTAAACTCAACTAGATAAAAAGCCGTCCGTTTTCAATTCTTTTTATACAAGTATCAATTTTATTTATTGGATGATGCAGAAATGTGGCTTTATAAGACTATGTATGTGTTTGAGAAAGTGTAATTTTATATTTTGAACTCCGTCCATGTTAAAGCTACTGTTTTATGTTCCTTTGTTTTGTATGTATTCAAGCTACAGTGTTACAGTATGTTCACCTGTTTTGTAAGTTTAAGTCTACACGTACTAGGCTCTGTGACACAGAACAATATTTTCAGGTCAAACAAGTCCAGTTTTATAATGGGAGTCATGCCAGAAAACACTGTCAAATCCTTCATGAGTTTTATCATGTTAAGTTTGAGTAAGGGACGTAAAAACAGTTTTATCATTCATTTTAATAAAATGAAATTTTACAATCTATTATTGATGTGTGTGAAGGTATATTTTGTTTGTTATTATCCTGTCCAGAATGTTCAATGTTAGATAACAACTGTGATATTTTTTTTAATTTATTATAATTTTTTTTTTGCTGACAGAGGTTGTGAATTTTATATTGTTTACTTTTAAAATTTAATTTACCTATCACATAGCATTTTGTCAGAATGTACAAAAATTAAATACATTGTTTATTTTATCCTTCTTTACTTTATGGGTTGTCTTTGTAAACGAAATAATTTTCTCTATTTTTAAATTGATATAATGCCTACACTTCAATGTTTTTTTTTTTTATTATTATTAAAATATTTTTAAAAAATATTTTTTTTTACAGCATTAAATTTTTCTGTGGTCTTAAATTTTGCCTTAAGATGTACATGTGACTTTCATTAAAGTATCATAGCATTTTATGTACATTGAGTAGACCAGATGAAATTTGAATGCAGTATTAGATACAGCTTTTAACTTAACTTTGAAACAGGCACTAGCTTTATACACCTTAACAGTAAGCTGCAATAAACTGTATAATCAAAGTACTGTGAGTACTGAAAGACGGTGGCATGAATGATTTTGTTTGTTTAACTAAGATTTATAGCAGCGAGGGATATTTTTCTGGCTAGCAATTACTGCCACACGGGATCTCAATCTGAATAAAGGGCCAATATCCATGTCACGCAGTGGGAGTCGAATCAGCGACATAAGGATGGACTCCTTCAGGTCTGTGAGTCCAAAGCAAACCCGCTATGTCAAATTGCGACTGGCAGTAAATAAGATAAAATGTTGTAAGTATTTGTAAAATGATATCTAAATTATAAAAGTTATTTCAATATTTCACAATATATCTACATGTATTTTAATATATAAATTTATATTTTTGAATTAAAAAGTAAAGTGTTATGAATTCTCACTGTGATCTAAAATGTTTACTACTCTTAAGTACATTTTTCATCAAACAACATAGCAAACGTCAAATAGGTATATGCATAAATAAACAAATTATAAGATTTCATTTAATTTGTTCTGTCGCCTCACGACAAACGGATGATAATGTCAAAGTGTCTAAAGCAGCGTCAAGTTTCCTCATTGCTAAAAACAAGTTGGATAATTCCCACTTAAATCAAGGAATTTCATTGATGCACATACATAGTTGAGTTACCCTTAATCCTTCAAATAACAACCAGAAACCAATCTCGCGCACAAATGGGACCTTGTGAAGATTTATTAGTACTAAAGTCATGGACAATATTTTTACCATCATTCAACAAAATAATATTATATATTGGCTGTCAACATTGACAGCGCCTTCCGCTATTCCAGTAGCTGTTTGTTCTACCCGTGGATTTGATTAAAAACGATTTTGCTAGCTCCCATTTCTCTTGTACATTGAAGAGGAAAAAAACTGAACTGCTTTCCAGTGCGTAGTATCGTCACCGAACATCGCCGTTTTTAGTGTGTTGGGTTTACCACTTTCCCATTTCGGATGCTTGGTAAACTGCCAATAATTAAGCAAATGTCCTTAGATTTTCCAAAAGACGACACAATAGATAGTATACTGCTCGAAAGAGAGAGAGAGAGAGAGAGAGAGAGAAACAGAATAACAAAATATTTTCCTGTCTCTATTTTTCGTCGTCTCAAGTCACAATCGGAGTCTGTATATATACGTATGAAGCTCTCTCCAGAATGGGAGGGGATCGTACATTTTGGCCGTGGTTTGGGATGATGGTATTTCTCATACGTAATATTGTAGTATGCAATGAATTTGCAAGTCATTGTGCAATACATATCTGCTTTGTGAACACACCAGAAGACTGAAAATTAAGTCCACTAAAATCGCATAAAAATCTTAATACTATTATTAAATTATGCACATGTATTTGAGTACCTTTTTTTCGTACACCCTTTAAATTTATTAGAGGCACGGTAGAGTTTCTAAATAGGAATGAAATATATAAGTACTTTTGTCCGTTACAGTCTTTGTAATTATTGCTTTGATAAATTATCAACCGTTAAGTCGTTTTTGTGTTCGAGATAATCAGACAAAGTCTTATTTTTAAAAACTAGAATGTTAATAAACTTAGCAAATTTCATGGCATCATATACCTCCAACAACTGTTTTATTATCTGATTAAGATGATCGTTTTTTCTTCTAACTTAAATACTAGTATATGTATTCGTTTTATTAATATAGCATTGTTAACAGATTTAAGAAATTCAAACAATCAAAAGACTTTGTGAAATTACAATAAACTATTTAAGTTTTATTGTATAAAAATTCCACAAAGCAGTATTGAAGAAACAGCCGCCCGTGTGTTCTTTAGCAATTAATAATTACTAGTATTTGATTTCGGAGTTAGATAGTGAAACAATTATCTACAAATATTTTTCATATATTCGGTAATTTTAAACAAACACAATGTGCATACAAAATGACTTTTCGAACATGTGAGAAAAACGAGAAAATTGTGTACGAATTAACATCCGTAGTTTGCATACGAATATACGAGTCGGTTGGTGTACGAGTTAGTTTAGTTCGGCGTAATTCAATGAATATTCATGAGGCGAGAAATATTGATAACCGCAAATATCAGGAATTAGGCTTAGTATCCATCAACGAAATGTCTTTGAAATAACTTGAAAGTATTTGTTAACTATGTACATTTTATTTTCAAACATCGAAATAAGTCTACTTTCATCATTTTGACTCTGCAAAAATCGCCGCTAGGGTCCCCGTGTGTTTACACTCATAGCCCAGACCAGCAGCAATAGCCTGTGGCTATATATAGCCACCGTCTAAAAAGGCTTCAAGTCAGTGAGTTATTTAAGTTTATTGTAAAAGTATTGCCTAGTTCTTTGTTTTGCAGCTTTGTTATGCCTCACTAAATTAATTGTTTATATTTATATTGTATCATTTCATTCAGAGTACAAGTTCAACAATCTATAGCTTTTTGCAGGAAGAAAAACACTATCAGCTGTTATGTCATGATAGGGCATGCTATTTTCACAAGGTATTAGGAATGGAATTGAAATCTTCTAATTATTGAAATGTAGAAATTAATTAAAACATTTGCTTTGTACTTTTGTTAATTAAAATGACAGTATTTCATACATGAAAGTAAAATAAATTTGTATTGAAATAGCAGGTTTCTCATGTTAATGGTCTAGGTAGCCTGATTTATGGCTGCTAGTGTCAGTAGATCAATTGCATTAAGTGACTGGATTCTATTGGTGCTGAGGAAAAACTTATTTCCTTCTCCAATGCTTCTTTATTGACAGGCTACAGTAGGCGATTCTGATCACATTCAATGCTGGAATTAAAACATGTTCTACTCACATTCCAAATAGAGACATGTTACAATAAATAATTAAATCTACACACTGTCTTGTTGTTTCTGAGAGTTTCTACTTCTTTTTTTTTTATTGTTTTTTAGGTCACTGAGTAAACCCATTTATGGGTGAAAGGGAACAAAAATTTTGAATTTCATGGTCCCTGCCCCCCTGAGGCCTGAGGGGTTGGGCCAAAATTACTAAAATTAGTGCAATCTTTAAAAATCTTCTTCTTTACTCCTGGACATCATGCAGTCAAACTGTTGGCATGATTTAAATCAACATTGAGTCCTCTACCAAAATTATAAAATTCATGGCCCCTGGGTCAGGGGTTCTGGTGTTAGGGTGGGGCTCTGTTGATCATATAGTAAAAGTGCATTATTTCTTTGAAAATCTTCTCCTCTGCTCCTGGGTGTTAAACAAACTAACCAAGTACATAGTTATGATGACTAAGAGTGCCTCTTCAAAAATTGTTAATTTTATGGCCCCTGGGTCAGTGATTCTGGTGTTAGGGCTGGGCTCTATTCATAATATAGTGAAAATACATAATTCTTTGAAAATCTTCTCCTCTGCTCCTGGGTATTAAACTAACTAAGTACATAGTTATGATTAACAAGAGTGCACCTTCCAAAATTGTGAATTTTATGCCCCAGTGTCAGGGGTTCTGGTGGTGGGGGGGGGGGGGGGGCTCTATTGATTAAATAGCGAAAATGCATTAATTCTTCTAAAATTTTCCCCTGTGCTCCTGGGTATTAAATAAACTAACTTTTTGTATAGTTATAATGAGCAAGAGTGCCTCAACCAAATTTGTGAATTTCATGGCCTCTGGGTCAGAGGTTTTGGTGTAAAGGGGGGAAGGGACTATTTTGATTATATAGTAAAAATACATTAATTCTTTTAAAATCTTCTTCTTTGCTCCTTGGTATTAAACAAATTAAGTATATAGTTATGATGAGCAAGAGGGCTTCTTCCAAAATTGTGAATTTTGTGGCCTCTGGGTTTGGTTTTTTTTTTGTTTGGGCGAGGCTCTATTGATTATATAGTGAAAATACATTGATTCTTTAAAACTCTTCTTCTCTGCTCCTGGGTATTAAACCAGTGAACTATGTACATAGTTATGTTGAGGAAGGATGCTTCTACCAAGATTGTCAATTTCATGGCCCCTGGGTCAGGGGTTGTGATTATATAGTGAAAATGCATGAATTCTTTGAAAATCTTTTCCATGGCTCATGGGTAGTATGCCAATGATCTTGGTAAATATTTTTATGATGAAGAAAGGTGCATCTAGCAAAATGGTTAATTTCATGCAGCCCCCTGGGTCAGGGGTAATGGGGGGGGGGTTACATAGTCTGAAAATAAATTTATGCTTTGAAATCTGCTCTTTGGTATTAATCAACCATTTATGATGAAATAAAATTTACAGAATTTCCAAATTTTGAAATATGTGGCCCCAGGGACAGTAGTTCCTGTGGGTTAGGGTGCACAACTGGTTATAAAGTTGAAATGCATTTTCTCTTTGTTACTTTGATCTACCTCTGGGTATTAAGTAACTAGAGTAAGCATGCTACATGTAAGTATATGATTATGATAAGCAATGGCGCCTCTTTCAAAATTTGTGAATTTCATGGCCTCTGGTTTAAAACACGAACAATTTCAATTGTTGGAAAGTTGTTACATGATACTCAGGTGACCTATAAGGCCCTTGGGCCCCTTGTTTAAATTAATTA